TACTTCGTAGATACTGGAATTGTAGTTTATTATTATGTGTTTTAATATTTTTTGGGACGGGGGCAACATGTTACACACATTTATTTGGTTTTAAATAGGTTCTAGGTATTTTTTTCGTATTTTTAAAGTCTCAAAATTCACGACCATGACGTGTCCCTAGGGTACATTTTCCAACTTTCACGCTGTTTTTAGACTAATTATTCATGCCGAAATATATAAAGCCATATTTTTATGTCATCAATGGTTATTAAACTTACAAAAAAGGAGCATATTATAATTTTATTGTCATTACAAACTGACTACCATGACAAAATAAGTCTGTCCCTCGATTTGGCGTCACGACCATTTGGGAAAAATTTTCAACTTTGGAGCAAGACAGTGGCAAGCCTGGCGTCGATGGAGTCAGTTGGTTTTAGAGACTAGTTCGGGGTGTACGTCAGGATTGTAGTGCTGGTCGTTTCGAGTTGAAAAGAGGAATTACAAGATTAATAAAGGAAAGATTGTGTTTTTTGTAATTTTGGTGTGTCCATGACCGTACATAGTCATTCGATGAAGTAGACATGGTGTTAATTTTTGTTTATAAGATATTTCAATTGCTAGATTAACCTAGAAGTCCACTTTGTATCCTCGAACATGAGGTGCAGGGCTACCGTCAGAACAGAGCCAAATAACACGTAATTTCACGACCAAAGTTTCACGACCATCGCGGGTTTTTTCACGACCATTGCAGCCTTATGGATTATAGTGTGTTTGGTCGTGACAATAACTTTAATATAATTGTAAATTGAACAGTTTAGTTCAATTGAAACACATATTTTTATTATAACTAACAGTATAATTGAAGGATTGTTTAGAAAGATTTAGATTATTTCAGAAAATTCACGACCATACCGCTTGTCCCTGACCATCATGTTTACGATTTCTATCATAAAAATTTCAAAAATTAATATATTGTCATATTTCAATGTTTTATACACAAAATAAGCACACCTTTATACAAACATAACGATTTTTCGGGTCTCAGGTAAGTTTTTTCGGAGTTATACAAACTTAAAAAGATTTTATTGGCTTTTTTCAATTTTTTGAGTTTTTCTTATTTTTTTCTAGAAAGACCAAATATACCAAAAGCTCAGTGACCTTTTTATTGTATAATGGTCATAAAAGTAAATTATTTTATAGCAAAACATAGTTATAAAAATAATATTAACTATTTTTAATATTCATTTAAACGTCTGTTATGGTCGTGACAGGATTTTGTGTTTTTCCACTAAAGATGCTCTTTAAAAAAAAAAACTACCGAAGATATTGCGTTACCATGGACATTTTATGAAACTTCAAATGTTAATTAAATAAAAAAAATAATAAAAGTTTTGAAAAAAGGGGAAAAAATTTGCAAAGTGCTTTTCCTGAAAACGTACGTTTTTAAATTTTCACTCTATAGCTGTCACAACAGAATAGGTCAACTCCTCAAAGCAGTCGCCGGACTGACTGGCAATGGCATAATCTGGACTTGACACTGAATGACATGATCGGTAGTGATTTTGTTTTAAAGTACTGTTTCACAATAGAAAATTCCACTACTGAACTGTTACAAGCAATAAATCTATGTTTAAAAAAGTCAGTTAAGTTTTAAAAAGAATAGAAACACTACAAAAGGCAAAACAATAGAAGGAGGGAGGGGTTGTGCAATGACCTCGAACTGAGCCGGCAGCCCGGCAGCCGGCAAGTCGGCAACAGTGAATGGTGTAGGGGGTTGGGGGGAAGGGGAGGGTAAGACCTTGGAGCTATATTTAGACCAGACTAGACTTTCACCACTTCCGAAATGGCTGGGTAGGGGCAGGGGGATTACAATAGCAGGTTTTTTCCTTGTCTGGTTTGACTTTTGTCTTTTTGTATAGGAGATTTGAATCATCAAAAATATAATTTGAATTGACCACAATTAATTATTTAGCATTGAAAATACAATCTGCAAGGGACCAGGAGAAATATTCAAATTAGAGTTAATACCATGATTTACATTTTTATGTCAAAATACAACATTGCACAATCATGATGTTTTGGGTCATTGGCCTTCTTAACAGAAGTTGATAATTATAAATTGATGCTACCGTGGTTGAAAATAATTATTCTGTAAACTTGTAAAACATTAGATAACTCATAAATAAGTATGAAATCATTCATGAGGACAATAGTAGCACTCCTAAAAAAAGCTTACAAATATCTCAAAATAATTAAGTGCTAGCACTTGGCCTTCTAGATTACATAGTTTGTTTTCCTTCATGACAACTTGCATTAATGTGGTTAATGTGCATGGAATACAATTGATTATAGTGAGTTAGGCCTAAGTCTAGGTTTCATTTGATTTCTATAACTACTATTGTATGAGCCTATTACATTATTCAGTACAATTTTCAATCTACAATTGTTTTGTTTATCAGTAAGGTAGACTACTTGTAGGCCTATTTGTACTTCATTTTTAACATATTTTGAGTATTTTGACAGAATGTTTGTTTACAATTAACATACAAGATTAAAAAATTTAATTTTCTTTATTTCAAAATTTATTTTTACTTTACCCACTGTCAAACCATTGGAAATTTTGTAGGCCTACTGTTACAAAAACCACACCAACTAAAAGAATAATGGTAATAAACTTACAAAACTAAAGGTGAAAAGGTAGGAAATAACATTTCAAGTTTTAGAATAAATCTCTTTATTGAACTTATTAGGCTATTGTAATTGCAACCTTAATAACTAATAGACAGTGTTGGGGAAGCTACTTTTAAAATGTAGCTAGCTACAACTACTGCTACATTTCCAAAAAAGTAGCTTAGCTACAGCTACAGCTACAGTTCCGAAAAAGTAGCTAGCTACAACTACAGCTACAATGAAATGTAGCTACAGCTACAATTTTAGCTACTTTTCCAAAGACGTTAAGTTTTATTCCACGCACATTAGGTAAATGTAAAATTAATTGCAACTACATTTTTATTTAACAAACATTTAAAAAATGTCAGTATTGTATCTAACATTACTTGGAAAACAAATAATTCCTAGATTGTATTTAATTTGTTGGCATTATAAACCTAACATTACAACAACAGAACCAAATAGTTGGGTGTCCCATCATATTTAGTACTTATTTTTAAATATTGCATTATTTTTAAGCATCTTAAAATGTAAATTTCATTAAGTTCAAAGGACATACAACCAAACTATATTTTAAAAGCTCATTTTATTAATTTAATATAGATTCATTTATAGATGTTTTATATAAACAATTAAGACCAATAAAACTGTAAAAAGATTATTAAAAAATACTTTTTTGTGTTACTGAGCCTAGCCTACTGAAATTGGAGTTTATTGCCTTTCTTTACTTTTAATGTTAAAAACGACATTGCTATAACTTTTAAAGTGATAAATTACTTGTTCTACGAATAACACTTTTCAATGTCAAGAAATCGTCCTTTTTTGTCATTATGCATAGGGCAAATTGTGCTTCAACCTAGTGTTGGTAGAGAAAACAGTATCAGCAACTTATCCTGAAATCGGCTTTTAATTTAAACATGATTTAATTTGTAAAGTAAAATAACATGTAGGCCTACTTGGCTATGTAACAAGTTGGCTATAGTAGGCTTGTTCTTGCAAGGACTAAACAGATATATTCATAATAATTGAACATGGAACTTGGTATTCGTCTTAAGCCATAGCCTCAGCCCTATACAAGAGCTGTTAGCAGGAGCAAACTATGCTATTTTTTCAATGTAAGTTTCGTGTTATAAAGAGATTTTTTCATTACAATTATCATGTAGTCTAGGCATATCTTAAATCTCATCAGGTAATTTCCTCTTTGCTAATTTAGTAAACCTTTGAAAAATCTTCGTAATCTAACCAAAGAAGGGCTTGTGATGTTAAACCACAATCAACAACTGAAGCAAAGGTAGACCAGCTTTCTCATTATTTTAAGGAGTGTTGGTTTCCATTAAACCCCAAGTTGAAGCATTATCGATATAATAAATAAACTAATTTGATTACTAATTCCCATGTCCTGTCAATCGTCAATCACTTGCAAGCATTCAATTCAATAGTTCTCTTCTTGTCACCGTACCGTTTAAACGTCGTCTGCATCTAGTGATTTTATTTAATCTGACAGTAATCATAGAGTAGTAAATTAAGGAAATGAGAGCCAAAAATGTGGATAACACTCATTTAATGGCCTCTATGTCCACACGACGTTGTAATAGGGAATGAAACGGCTGCAACCAGCTGTTTGAAGCCAAGAAAGTAGGCCTAATTTTTTTGAAAATCTCAGTTTGAAACAGGTTGTTTCACGTAAGGTTGAGGTTATGATAATAATCACTATCTCAAACAAATGTTAATGTAGCGAGAAAAGTAGCTAAAATTCCGCTACAACTACTTTAAAAATGTAGCTAGCTACAGCTAAAGCTACAAAATCTTAAAAGTAGCGTAGCTACAGCTAACGCTACAAAAAAAGTAGCGCGCTACTGTAGCGTCGCTACTTGTAGCGCGCTACTTCCCAACACTGCTAATAGATGCAAGTATTAAGTAATTTTAGCCAAGTATTATGCAATATTACTTATCAATAGGGATTATTGTATTTTATTTTTGGATAAAAAAATGTATGCTCACTTACCTTTTTTTACAGAAGTAGAAGTTCATTTATGAGCTCTATTGTTGTTGTTTTAAAATTATTTTCTATGCATTATATTGATATGTTACTGCACAAATATTAATAATTTATTTATTTATAATCATATTTCAGCTTGTAACAAGGTTGTTTTAACAGTTACATGCTCTAGGCCTAAGGAGTTACTTAAACTTACACATTCTTCGATCTTTTGGGTTTAAACTCGACTCGAACTCGAATCTTTTGCCAATTACTCGACTCGAACTCGACTCGACCTGAAAAACCTGTGCTCGCACATCTCTAAATAACAATAATAATAATAACTTCTGTAATTGGTGTTTTCTGATTCCAGGTCACAGAATCATGATACAGATTTAGGAAGGTCTTTGAGAACATTGTCTATTGTCTCCATAGCGCCATAACTCCAAAAGTGATGTGAAACTTTAACAGTGCAACCGGTATATGGAAATTAACCAAGAAGCTAAATAAATTAGTGGATAGACCTAGGTAACTTTTAGTATAGTTTTACAAGCAAGCTGTTGCAGGACTCAAATATTTTATATAGGCTTATTTTAATTTTATGTGTACTGTGCATTTTGATGTCTCAAAAACAGGCCATGTTCAAAGGAAGTGCAATTAATCAATTGCAGAACTAAACTTTAATTTCGTAAGAAATATCTCTTGTAGTAGATTGAGAAGAATATACTGCATAAACGTCTAGGAGGAACCCACCATAAGTAAGATTGTTTACTTTTATTCCCTGTATTTTTACAGTTAAAAAGTGACTTTCAATTTATAACTGTAAACTGTGTGAAATACCATGGCTTCTGTAAACAGTTTACCCAATGAAATTCTACTTGAAGTGTTTTCGCACCTTGATATCTACGACATCACATTTTCTGTCATGTTTGTTTGTAAGCGCTGGAACATTGTTGCAAGGGATTCAATGTTGTGGAATAATTTAGTTTTTAAGGTAGACAGAACTAAGCCATGGGATTTTAACTTTAAGGGTATTATTCAACATTTAAAATGGTTGAAGCATGTTGAATTGCGGTGGAGAACAGACACAAATGATATAATTGATGCATTAGTTCAATTTTGCCCATGTTTAGTTGGATTCAAACTAATATATTGCCGTAAAATAGGTGCAGACAGCATAAAAAAATTGTCTGATAGCTATACAGACCTAAAAATATTAAGTTTTCGCAATAGCTATAATATACCAAGACAATGCCTTGCTGACATTGTTTTTCTACCCAACCTCACAGAACTAAATTTATCACACTCCTTGTTGACCTCAGATCAGTTCAGGTCGATATCCAAGGCATGCACTAAAATTGTATCACTTGATATTGATTATGTCAGAGGTATTCAAGAAGATGATCTGGTCGTGTTTCTTTCTCCAAGGTATAATTGTCTAGAATCCTTGTCTGTTTTCGGTGAGCTCTTCACTGATAAAATATTCCAATACCTGGAAAAATGCTGTAAACTCAAACTATTGCGTATTTCTTCCTGTACAAATATTTCAGATACTTGCTTAATCAGTGTTGAAAAAATGAAAAGCCTCAAATCTCTAACTCTTATGGAAACTACAAAATTGTCCGCCATCGCACTAAGGAACTTTTATTGTCACTCTGATACTGTAAGAAATGTTTCAAAATTGTACATTTCTGCAAAAAGATATGTAAACAACAATGATATGTCCGTGTGGTATAACAATTGTTCAAACATTAAACAAATACATCTGGATAAATATTGTGACTGTGTTTTAGTACAAGATGGTTTTATGGTTTATATAATTATGTGAATCATTCTATCCTTAAGATGCTGGCTAAGTAAATGGTAGTATTTATAACGTGTTCTTTGTTTTTCCCAAATTGATTTCAAAGTCAATTAAAATTCATTGTTTGGATATAATCTGGACTCCTGTAATGTTGTGGTTTTGTATTTGATGGATTGCTACCAAATAAATGACTTTGATAGTATGAAGTATTTCCTTTAACAACACCCTTTTTAATACTATCATTTAGCATTACTCATTTTTTACTATGAATATAATCTGTATTATTTAATTTTACATAGGTACTTGTTGATTGGTGGGTTTGTGATATTATTGTGAACTAGTTTCTGGATGTAGGGTACTGGACAGAGTTCAAACAAGTTGTTTATACTTGAGTACTTTTGTGCATATACAGTTGTTAGCCCCCGTCCTTCAAATGCAATGCAGCTATTTAAACTTCTTTTTGGCATTCCAAAATATTGCTAGTGGTGTTTCTCATGTAGAACGTTGAGAGTAGAGAGTCAAGAGACTGGTTCACAGTAGTTTATTTTATAATACACCTAAATTATCCTAATATGAGGGTAAAATGTACTGATTTAGTAAAGAGTAGATTTTCAGAATTCAAATGAAGCAAAATCAATTTTTCGCAAAATCAATATATAGAACATAAAATAAAAAAAGAATAATTTAGTTTGTTTAATCAAAAGAGAATCTACCGAAAAAACTGCAAAGACGGCACAGCAAGTAAACTGCAAACTTCATAAGACCTGCCATCATCACTACCTTTACCAACAAATCCTAAACACCTGAAAACGCCAATTAAAAAAAGATCATTAAAATGTCCTTTTCCTGTGTCTAAATTGCATACAGATTCCTAGTACTGTAATATTTTAATAATCACCCGAAAAAAAGCAACACAAGGAACCTGACCATTTTGAGTGGTTGTTACTACTTTCCACTTTGGATGTTATAAAAAAATGTAAATTTATAGGGTAGGGAAGTTTAAGAAGTATGTAGTTTTTGCATTGTATGAAACAATAAGAAGGCTCTATTTTTACCTTGTCCATCGTGTGAACAGGTCATGTCATACCAAATACAGGTTCTACTGTACCTACCTACTTTGGCAATGAAAAACTCACTTAAAATTTGGGTGCCAGACATTTATTTTGGTACTTTGCAAAAAGTGCCAAAGTTTTTTACTACCGTAGTTATGTCTGAAAAGTGCCAAGGAGCCATGAGAAATCAAATTAAATCATGGTTTCTTTTTAAATAACAACTAAGATAGGGCCCATTAAAATGTCTTTGCAATGTATTTTTTGGTTAGACTACTGACGCGATTATGATGATGACGGTATATCAACAATGACTATAACTAAATATCATATAGCTTGCATGGCACTCAAAGGAAAAATGAAGTAGGCCCTATTTAATACAAATTGCAAAGAACTGTCCTACTTTAATGAATTGAGAAGTAATTGCATATACATTCAAGCTTACTTTAACTGCATCAGTCATATGGTATGTTAAACCATAGATAAACATAATTTACTCCCTTAACTGGGTTTTCCTAGAACGCGGAGAGAGGAAAAGCTCCGCTTCTAGGAAAACGGTAACATTAAATTACCTAAGACGAGTGGAGACCGCTCTCCGCGTTCCTCTCTCCGCTCTCCACTTCTGCGCCTAGGAAAACCGGCTATAGTTGTTGATTAGTGTTGGTTAAACCCGCAAGTTTTTAAAAATATTTTTTACATATCTACAACTCTTGGTTAAAAAGAAAAATACAAATTTACTGTATAAACAACTTTATTAAAGTATAAAAGCTTAAATAATACTACATTCAGTCTTAACTTACAAATAAAGTATAGCACTTTGATTTCCTGAGAATACTTAATTTAGGAACCAAACTTACTCCATCTCAAGGAACAACAAATATAATAGTGTACATTAAACAGAAACAATACTCGCAAGAGTGTTCAGATAAACACTAATACAACACACATTTGATCGATTCAAAATTACTTAGGCCTAGGGATTTAACTTTCCATTTTCTCTAACTTCTTCTCTTCTTTCTTGTCAGATGGTTTGATAGCTGGCTGGTTGGTCTGAGTAATGGGGATGGGGCGTTCCTTGGCATTGGGCAGGGCGAGCTTGGGTGCATGTAGCTGCAAAACGCCATCAGATGACAGAGAGCTGGTCAGAGCAGCCTTGTCTACATTGTCTGGCAACTTGTACCGACGGGTGAACTGACGGGAGATGAACCCATGCTCATCACTGCGCTCTTCATGTTTACCTTCGATGCAGATGTAGTCATCAACCACCTTAAATAAATTGTTTAGGTTAAAATTTGTATACAAGTTGAGATAATTATATTGGAGCTTATAGGAGATGACTTGGGGAGTATATGCAAGTTGCATACAGAGATCATTCTTAATTTTAAGCCCTTAGATCAATATAAACTGCAGACATATATTAAGGCTGTTGGGGTGCAAGGAATACACATAGTCAGACCTCATTGTCAGTTCGCCATTTTTAGCACAGTAATTAAGGCACCAAACTATTTAGTTGCACAAGGTGATTTCTAAAAATTAAAAGTAGGCCTACATAAAAAATATCTAACTAGGTATCTAAAATTTTTTCCAAAGTGAGTTTGTATTTCTTTTCAAATTTTGGGATGAAATTAAAATTAGCCTATCTGCTTCAGAAAAATTTACAAGACATGTTTGGAAATTCATACTTTTAATAGCCCTGTGGTTGACATTTAATTTGACAAAATAATTCCTGTAAGTTTGTCATCCTACTAGTATTATAAATGTGAAAGTATGGGTGTTTGTTTGTAACTCTGAAGTTCCAAAATAAATAAACACTTATTATAGCCTAGTGATTGGAGGTGGTCTGCCTCGGATATACAAGGTGTCTGCATGTCCCGCAGTCACGACACATTTGTCAACATGTCCCGTGGTCACGACACAATTGTCAATACTACTGAACACCAAATTTAATCAGATTTTATTTCAAATGTTTACCTCCTATAACAATTTGAGAACATCGACAACTATGAAAAAGAGTAAAAAAAGCTTCTCCTGAGAAAATATTAGGCCATGCGCACACAGGCGATTTTGAGTCTAGCAACAGTTGCCCAACTAATTGGGGGACTGTTGCGCAACCCACTCGGAGACTCTGAAGTCTAGCGACAGTTGAGCTGGAGTGTGCACACAGGCAACTTTTTAGTCGTGAATCTAAAGTCTTAAGACGTGTAGAACATTACATACGTTAACAGCGTTAACGAATAACTATAACAGTACCGAATGGATTTCAATGATACAGCCGTACTATGTGCTTTGTTGTCAAAGTTGTGATCTTTGATTATTTCCTCTTGTGTTAGGTTGTTCCAATCATTAGTAACTGCCAAGGACACTTCATCCCACAACTTCAGATTAATATCCGAATAGTCTTTCAATGACTTTAAATATAAACGCGGCATCTTCTCAACTTCATCAATTACTGTTCGACATCCTAATCACGGACACTCATATTTGAGTAATTTTCTAAAAACTTCACACAAAACAAGAAGAGAGCAAACACTAGTGACAGTTCCGACCACGAGTAGCTAAATTCCTGGGGCAATGGATACCAAACCTGGAGCGACAGTCCTGCGACAATTGAGTCGCAGAGCTGTCTCAAGCAAATTGGGTCCGGGAACATCGGTTGCAACAGTTGCGCAACTGTCCCTAGACTGTTTCCTTGGTGTGCGCACTCCAATTTAAAACAATGGTGAACATTTCAGTCGGACAACTGTTGCTAGACTCAAAATCGCCTGTGTGCACCTGGCCTTAGGGGTAACTTAACTATTGCTATGATATTTTCTGTGGAATAGTAAGTCCATTCAAGACAGTTATATAATAGAACATGGTTAAGTTTTGCAATCTTTATTGAGTGTTTATTTTGTTCAAGTTAAAACAATGAATATAACGATAAGAGCCCTCTTGCTTGGAAACAGTTTTGTATAAGTTTTCATCAGATAGCCTTTGTTAACAAGCTTTTTATATTACCAAGATCAGCCATAAAGAATCGCAGACATAAAATATTAGCGTGCGAAGCAGTTATATTTTCAGTTTACAATATAGAGCCACACTAATCTATATAAATCAAATTAGAGTTTTGTCTGTACATTGCTCAGAATCATAAACTTTTAGGTTATTTTTACGTGTTATACATTAGAGAAACCGAAACAAGTCTCATCTAAATTTCTGTCTGTCTTCCAGTCTGTTACGACCCAAGAGCCATTTTACGAGGCCTACTCCTGAAAAACAAGAGTACCTATCAAGTTCCAAATCATTTTAATGCATTCACTGGATTGGCGAGATTGTCTTTAGCCATTAAAATATGGTGTCACCACTTTGTAAATAAAATGACGGACGTTTAAAACCCCAATTTTGTGCGATTTTTCTAAAGTTTTCTCCCAATGTTTAGCACATATTCTTCTATGAAATAACGAACAGCTGTTCAAATCAAGATTATTTCTTCTAGCTGTCACTGATATGTTTATATTGAATGTTGTTTACAAATACCGCAACCATTTCCGATCACGTTTTGAAAGCAAATCCAAACCAATTAAGAATAAAAACGTTTTTCCTTACATAACGGATTTAATTAATCGCAAGTGCAATAATTTGTAGGGTAACAGTAAATGAAAATAGAGATTCTTTGTGCATAAAATTGTTCTTGAGTTTTGATAACTGGGAAATAGACCTTGAATCAGTGTTGTATATTGCTGGTAAACTTACATTTTTTAAATGAGCGTTTTCAGTCAAGACTCGGCACACGACCGACGCGCGTCTACTTGTCCATAGTAAAAATAAAAGTAGGCCTACCGTGTATTTATGTTTTATTCGTTATGTGTATAAGTGTACAGTTCGTGTATGTGTTTCAAAAACTCCAAGATGCACCTAATGGGGAAGCTCAAGACCTTATATTAGGACTGATGATGGCGATTTAATTTCGCCGAAATGCATCTCCTGTAATAGGATACATTAGGATCGACCGGCGGACACAGGTAATTTAGCCTTTTATTGATTGTCATACCGATCCGGAACAACAACAAATGACATAAAATGAAGTTATGTATAATAAATAGTTTGGCCAGCATATCTAAAAATATGCAAACCAACTACTGTTCTTTACATAAGAAGGTTTCAACTGACACTATAAGATCCCCGTGCGTAGAACGGGTACACAGCTAGTTATGATTTATAAATGAGTTGAAAACGGATAAATACTTGGAGGAGTTCAACACTTGCTTCATTAAAGGGTTTAGCCTTGTTTAAGTCAACAGTTAAGTTAAGAGTGAAAAGGGACAAAAGTTACCTTGACAGACAACTCCTCCGGCTTGAACTGCTGGACGTCCAAGCTGACTTTAAAGCCGTCCTTGTCGCTAACGACAGAAGACACGCCGCTGTTGTCATGTCTCAGTGCGCGCCAGGGTCGCAGGTAGCCGGTGCGCAGAGGAGTGATGCTGAGGCGCTCGTAAGGGTGGTAGCCCCAGTGATGATCGTACGCCGGACGATCCAGTTCACTCAGCAGTTCATTCACAAGGTATGGAACCAGCGACATCTGAACAAACAATCTTGGTAAACATACAAAGTAAAAGGCAAATATGTTTGATCGTTTTATATAAAGCTTTGGTCCAATACAACTTGTTAACAAATACTACAGTCTTAACTTAGCCTATTCTTTAAGTTACATGTTATTTTCTTCACTTGGATCTTGCTTCTGTCATACAACGTTTGTTCGAGCGCAAATCCTACCAGTCCTTATACATTTTAGGCCCCTATTACACGAGGTAGCCTGGCGACGTCGCCAGCGACCAAACTGGCTACTCAGCTTGTCATGGGGCATTGATTCTTATGGATGTTATTACACGAGGGTAGCCAGCGACGCAGCCACACTTTGGCGACCGACTGGCTACCGAGCCCCGTCGCCACTGTGGTAGCCACTGGCTACCCATATTGGCGACGCTGCGTTGTAGCATATGGAGCTTATTACACTAGGTCGCCAGTATCACGTCGCCACTCGGTTAGTTCATATCACGGGGGTACTTGCACACTGTTGTGTTGCGTTCTGTTGTGTTGTGAGTGTGTGAATTGTTCACTTCAGTTGATAAAATGTCTATATCATCCTTTATGACTCGAAGAAACTGGATTGTGACATACGAAAATAATTGAAACATTTTTTATTGTCCGCACAGAGCTCATCAAAAAGGGTGTAATATGACCCTTTTGATTCTCTTGCACTAAGCATTGGATGAACGTACATTTTTCTCTTCCTTTGCCTCCTTTTCTTCAGAAGTAACAGAAGGAAAAGATACTTATAATCACTCAATATTCACTGTAAACACCGCTCATAACAAGTACAAGTGCAAGACAAGCACTCACAACAACGGCGCCACGGCGGTAAAATTCTGGCTACTCAACTGGCTACTCAACTGGTTATAGGTTTGGTGGCCAGTGCGTCGCCAGCTACTGCCGCTGGCGACGTCGCCAGGCTACCTCGTGTAATAGGGGCCTTAAAACCAAGCGAGGCCAATGATAGTTAAACTAATCAATCCATAGATTATGTTAACTTACTGACCCTTACCAAAAAGGAAGTAAGCAATGGTGTTGGTCCTAGGGACGAGTGATTGTGAGGTGTTGCAATCGAAACGTTTAGATTGTTTGAACCTCTCGAGACGTTTCGATTGTATTTTTGCTTAGCGAGAGGTTCTTACCGAAAGGTTTTATAGAGATGTTCGCGACGATTGTTTTGTTTAAGCACGGCTTCTCTCGTATCTCGCATTCATCTAGAGAACCGAGAGGTGATAAGTCCATACTGAGAGTCTTTTTAACGAGATGATCATGGCGATTGTTTTGTTAAGTGGGGGTTCGTCATTTATTATCATCTAATTTCTATTGTATCTGCCGGGGATTGACCCCCAATAAGGGGCATATCTTACTTCAACAAAACCATAAGGAAGGTTTATATTATTTACTTTATCTACGGAATAGTGACATACCACTCAATAAAAACTATTGACAAGACGATATATTTTACAAACAAATGTTTGTATTTAAATCTAAATGTTTATAACGAGACAGAAGGGTCCCATAAATGTTATGTTAACAGTATTATTTACTATTACTCATTACTTTAAAATAATTTTCTATTTCTGTGTTGCCATGACGGATTGACGTAAGTGCTTATTCATATGTCAGCAGTATGTTGTGCTATTCTAGTCTACTATTCTATAAGAAATCTAGAAAAAGAACTAACATCAACAGTCCTCGTTCGTAACAAACTCTCATGAAATGTAGACAGATGCAAAAGGACCTTTAGGCTTAACGAATGCAACAATCGAGAGAAACAACTCGATTGTACAAACCTCTCGCTAAGCAATCGAAACAATCGATAAGCGGAACATGCCGAGAAGGAACATTTTGATTGTTCGAACATCTCACAATCGTGCATCACTAGTTGGTCCCTCTACTAAGCTTGTCAAGAATGCATGTAATAGTTCTTCTAAAAGTTGGAAATTTCATCAATAATACAGAAAGGATGACCTATTACCATTGACTTTATAACTTAACTTTTAGCGAATTTCCCTATAGGGAAGTAGCTATTACCGTAGGTCTCATGGTAAGACTTAGGCCCGGGACCGATTTATTTTTCATTTTAATGTCCCCAGAGGCCAAAAACACCATTCGTTCAAATTTTTATATATGTATATATATATATATACATATATATATATATAGATTTATATATATATATATATGTGTCCGTGAACACGATAACTTGAGTAATTTTTATCCGATTTTGATGAAATTTGGTTTGAAGGTGTAAGGCGGGATAAACTTGAATGAATTTGCGATACAGCATGATCGGACCATGGGAACAGGGTTTCATGGGGGGTTTTATGGGGTAAAAATTGGTTTTTCTCACTTTTTACCCTCAAAACACAAAATTTCCCAATTTTTCTCTAAACCTTCTTAAAGAGCTTGAAAAAACAAACAATTCAGTATGTCAAAGTGTTTTTGTACGGTTATTGGTTACGGAGAAAACTAACAAAATGGTAAATTTAAAATTCCCATGTTATTCTTATGGAGAATATTGTAAAATGTTGTAGTTTGCTTGTTTATGGATATATTTTGATCAAACTTGGCAAATTTATTTATTTTATAGTAAGCTAACAATATTTTACTAAAAACACACTACTTTATTAGTTTCCTTGCAGCAAACCTAGGTACTCGTTAAACCTAATGTTATTTAAATAGATCAATTGAAAATCAATTCGGCCAAATGGAAATTTGCTTAGACGGCAGGTTTGCTGCGGCGGGAGTATTAATAAGATTAAAATCTAACCAATTATAAAACACAGAAAAAGTTTTAAATTTAATTATGAATATAATTTTTGTTTGTAGGCCTAAGCTGATCAATATTTTGAGACAAGTTAAGCAGAGGAAAAATTAAAAGTAGTTACGAAAAACTATTCCACAGTAAATTGAGATAAGAGATGATAATAATGTAGCGGGACACAAAGTAACTTGCCAACCTAACCAAGAGTCAGTTGAACTATCAAAAAATGACAATTCAGTTAAAGTTAACTGTTTTTTCCAAAATGATTTATTGAAATGGATCTAAAACTCAGACATTATGGTTTTTCAGATATTAATTTAAATAAATAGGCAATTAGATGCATAAGGTACACTGCCTACATAACTTATCTGAGTTCGAGAGAAGAGAAATGTATAGAAATTTTTGTGTTATGTTAACTAGTAAACTTAACTTGCGATACATTGTATTATTAATAATATCTTGCCCGTAAAAGACAACAGGGTAAACTTACACTAGCCAAGCTAAATGTTAACTTTTAAACATTTTCAGATAAAATATTATATTTTAAGTAAAACTTAGTACATACCTCTTCAGAATAGAGTAAGCACAATTTCAAAATTCAATCACAAACAAAATTAAAGCAGCGAAAACCGCAGAAAATCACTTTCACAGTGGATGCACGCTCTGTAACTCACGTCACGTCTTCTTTCAAACTGCCGGCGAAATCAGCTGTGCCTTCTTTTATAGGCTGGCTGGCAACGCGTCTAGAACGTTCCACATCAGTCCGTTTCAACAGCTGTGGACTGTTCTCGAGCGTCTAGAAACGTCAAGATTTTACCCGCCAAACGTACAGATTCCAGATCATTCAAATACGATTCATGTTTTAACAATTCTATACGTTTGAAACGCATATAAAGGCAGGGTATAATCTGTAAAACTGTTTAAATCTTGAATGATAGTATTTTAGAGGATTATATATTTTCACACACACATTTTAAAATTACAATGCAAACTAATCCAGTAGTTCCGATTTAAAATGTTTGTTAACATTTTAGAATCTTTGTTCTTCTAATTGGTGATTATTTTAGTTTTAGACCTATTTAAGAAAATAATTTAAAAATTACATCAGTTATATTTATATCAAATATAATGTATGAAAAACGAAAACAGAATCAAATTTAAAGTCTTGTAAGCAACCGTATTTAATCCATGTTTATTTATGGTAAACATTTTTAAAGGATTATACTTTTGCATTAATACTCGTACATTGCACATTTTATTGTTTAACGAGTTCCCTAAAAATAACCATGCATTTATCCATGTTTCTTTATTGTGTAAATTGGTAATGGTTGATACTTTTGTATGCTACACCAATAACAAACAATTCATAGTATAGCGAAAATCCTCTAAAAAATAATCATTAGTTTAGTATGTATGCCCTAAAAGGTTTGGTATCTGTCATTCTGTCAACCAACAAATATAAAAGATACACCCTTTTATAGATTTCTCAAACTATATATAGGCCTACTTGTGGATCGACGAAGAACAATGTTATAGCCTGTATACATTTTGTACGCTCTATTTACTTTGTTAAACAACTAAAACCACATTTTCACTAATTAAAACGATCGAATTGTAGACGATTGCTTCTATTAAAGAACTGAAATAAAATTTGTCGTAAAATAGGAGTCAACTCGCCCTATAGACTTACCCAACGATCACACAAGACAAAATGTTATGGTCGTGATCGTTGGACTTACCGGACATTCCTACTCATTTCAATTGTGTTATAATAATAATATCCTTCTTATAATATCCAAAGTCAATAGTGCTACGGTACGACAGTACGTCTTTTGTACCTAGCTTTTCAACTTTACCTTGCAGGAAAAACACATAACTTAAACTGCCATCAGTGTTTTCTTTTACTTCGTATAACCACTGGGAGGCAGTTACACAAAATAAATTATAATATTCATCGTTAATGTAAGTTCAAACTCGACATTGTTCAGTTCAAAGCATGTTTTCTCTACATTTTGGCAGTGTATGTACTCTTCAATATTCTGTAGTTTTACTGTCGATGAGGATATGAAACAGTACACAAAACTACTAATATAAGTTTCAAGCACAGTTGTAAAACATTGTACACCGTCACTTTGGTAATAACTCAAACTCATTTATTGAACCAAAATAACAAATACAAAATATATAATATATATTTATAATAATATATATAATAACAATAATTAAACCATGCGATAATCCGCATTTGTTTGATCATTAACTACAAAACAAATTAATTTTACTCTAGATTATCAAACATAGAAACTTTAATCTCTCTTATTATATTCTGTAAATCGGTGCTTAGCAGCGTGATGCACACTGGCAACAAGGAATAACTTAATTTCTAAATTGTTTCAGTTTTCAATTTCACACATTAAAATAATTATTGTAGTGATAAGAGCATCGACTAAGAACAAAGAGTTAGAATTTAGGTGCGTTGCTAGAGTGCTAGAATATTCCAACCCCCTTCTAGAAGGTCCCCTCCCTAGCTGTTCCCTCCCATTGTATTTACAACAAAAGGCTGGCGATTGTTGCCAATGCCAGCGATGCCAGCTGAAACCTGTGACGGAAATTTCCCAAACCTTCATGAACCATCAGGCGGTTGTGTCGTCTGCAACTGCAAAAACAGAAACGCTACCGGTACACCCACAGGATCTACCTGCAACACAACAGTAGTACAGGGGTTTCACCCAAACATTTGAACTGTAATGTCAAACTAACAATAAATTGAAATTTTTATTCACTTAACAAAATAACTAATTAACAAAATAATTTATAAATAAAAATACCCCCGCCGCAGCAAACCTGCCGTCTAAGCGAATTTCCATTTGGCTGAATTAATTTTCAATCGATCTATTTAAATAACATTAGGTTTAACGAGTACCTAGGTTTGCTGCTACAAGGAAACTAATAAAGTTTGTGTTTTAAGTAAAATAATTATTGCTTAGTAGAAAATGAATATATTTGCCAAGTTTGATCAAAAGATATCCATAAACAAACAAACTACAACATTTTACAATATTCTCCATAAGAATAACATGGTAATTTTAAATTTATTGTATTCTCCGTAACTAATAACCGTACAAAAACACTTTGATGTACTGAATTGTTTGTTTTTTTTAAGCTCTTTGAAGGTTTAGAGAAAAATTGGGAAATTTTGTGTTTTGAGGGTCAAAAGTGAGAAAAACCAATTTTTACCCCATAAAACCCCCCATAAAACCCTGTTCCCATGGTCCGATCATGCTGGATCGCGAACTCATTCAAGTTTATCCCGCCTTACACCTTCAAACCAAATTTCATCAAAATCGGAAAAAAATTACTCAAGTTATCGTGTTTACGGACACATATATATATAAATCTATATATATATATATATATATACATATATAAAAATTTGAACGAATGGTGTTTTTGTTCTCTGGGGACACCAAAATGAAAAAGTAAATCGGTCCCGGGCCTAAGTCTTACCATGAGACCTACGGTAATAGCTACTTCCCTATAGGGAAATTCGCTAATACTTTTGAAAAATGCCACGGTTTTAAACGCACTAAAAAGTAGAAAATACGGTAATTTATAAATATGTTGAGAGAATAAATACTATTGTAAGATTTAAAACGAATGATGTTGCATGCAATTGATCATAATAGTTCAATACGTGTGAAGTTAATTGTAAATTAGTAAATCATTTTTACTTTTTAATATTTAATGTGTAAATACAGTATGTTAAATCTGTTTTATATGACCTGTAAAATACATAACCAAAACCTTATTATCTGTAATCAGATGTTTTAACTTTACTTTGAAATGCTTGTTTTATATTTAGAACTGTCAAATTTAAGTATTTACAGCTGACTTCAATTGGTATATTTACATTCTTTCAACATGTAAACATGGAAATTTTGGAAGCCCATATGTGGCTTAGCCCAAGGGAAGTATGAAATAGTATATTTCGTACCTAGGGCCGAAAATGAGGTTTTGCCGGCTCGAGATAGTTTTTAAGTTCGAGACGAAGTCGAGAACTTAAATCGATCGAGAGCTGCAAAACCATTTCGGTCCGTGGTACGAACGCTATTTTTCACCACACTATACCCTATTACCACTATTCACCACTATAATGCACACTGATCGTCAACACAACTACAACTTTAAGGTTATGTGAAGAAATAATTTGAGGAATCAGCAAAAATAAAAATAAATAGTTGCTAGGCAACGGTGACAATAACACAATTCTATATTGCAATGCTATGGATTTTGATTGTGTATTTAAAACGCATTCATGTTTTAAGTAAGTAAGCGGACAGCTGATTTTGCGGCCCCGGCCTGTAAAAACCTGCTCGGTCCCCAAATTGGCGACAGCTGGCATGGCCAGCAAAACGTAACTTTCAGCCACCAATTAACGTATGTAATACAGCCAAAAACATCATAGTGTGGTGAAAATAAAATGATATAGTATTGCATTTTCATCAATTTGTGACCTGTTTCAAGTTTCAAGTCTCTAGCTCATCGGTAAGTTAATTTAAAATTGATTGCACAATTTATACTGGACAAGAAAGCGAGCTCATAAAAGCAAGCCCACAGGGCGTAGCCTAAGGGAAATATAAAAAATTAAATGATATAATATTGCATTATCATCCATTTGTAAACTATGTTCCAAGTTTTAAGTCTCTAGCTCATTGGGAAGAGTCAGTTTAAAATTTATTGCAAAATTTGTACCGGATAAGAAAGTGAGCTAATAAAAACGTTTTAATAACAAAAAAAAAAAAAAAAAAAAAAAAAAAAAAACTCCACCACAGCAAACCTGCAAACTAAGCCAATTTTCATTTGCCTAATTGGATTTTCACTAAAATAGCCCTATTCCTTACAAACAAATGACAGAATATAATTCCCTATTTGAATAACCTTAGGTTACAATTAAGTTTAATGCGTAGGCTACTTAGGTTTCCTACTATAGAGAAGGCCATAAAGTGTTTTTTTTGTAAAATGTTTATAGCTTATTATAAAGTAAATAAATTTACCGAAATTGAACAATATCCTTACACAAGCAAAGTAGGAAATGGTATACAACAGTATACATATTCTTCATAAGAATAATATTTGAATAAAAAATTAGTTTTTTAGAAATTTTTTAATAACCATACTGTCATATAATAAACGATTTATTTTCTAAGCTCTACAAAATATTGGTTTGGAAAGAAATAGCAAAATGTTATGTTCCAAGGGACGTGTTGTTGGATGGAAAACCCAATTTTCATCCCATACAACCCCCACCACCCTGTTCCCAAAGGCTGATCATGCTGGTTCAGAACTCTTAGAATAAAAGTTCATTTATACATTTTTAACGAATTTAGTTTTAATTGGTTTATTTTTCCTCGAGTTCTAAATATAATTAGGTCAATATTTTTATATATCTATTTATTTAGGGGAAAAATGTAGTTTAACAGTTGATCTTGAGTTTCTTTGTAACTTTGTCTACTATACAAGGTACCTACTGTATTAGTGATGGTCAAAACCAGAAATTTCGAATCTCAAAACCTAAACGCGAAACTTTTTTAGTATTTTACTTAGCTGGTTACAAAGGTCAAGGTTACAAAAAATACAGGTAACAATAAAATGTTAAGTATGCAATCAAAACTAAAAGAGATCAACTCCTGACCCTGACATGACATAAATATGTGACTGATAATCTTAAAACCCTTAAAAGACTAAATAATATCACTTACAACATAATTTTGTATAAAAAACCAATAATAAAATAAATTAAACTCCTAACACCAACATAAATATGAATATTAGATTAATTAGAACATATTATAGTGGTTAATATTTCTTTGGGTTTAAAAAATATTGATATGAAACTGAATCATATTTCCAGTTATAGTATTCGATGCCTTTTGAAGTTCAGATTAGCCTACAATTTACTTGTTTCATTACTGTTAATGGTGATGTTTGTCTATTGTTATGAGCTTGTGAGGAACAGTGTTAAAACAATAATAATGACAAAAAATAATTTCAGCAGTTTCAAAAATCACTTCAAAAATCTTCAATTTTGAAACTTTTGAATCTCGAAATTTGGTGATCGAATTTCGAAACCGAAACTTTTCTAAAGTTTTGATATTTGAGATTTGGTTTTGACACATCACTACAAGGTATTAACCGTGTACATCTGCAGCGTCACGACTTGAGGTCAACTATATAATAGTCTCTTTAAGAACACCTGTACCCATAACTGATAGTATAATAGGCCTTAAAGATATGCAAACATAACTCTTAGGTAACAGTTTGTGTTAAAGCCGAGATGTTACTATCACGAGACGTGTTAAAGCTGTGATGTTACAATCACGAGACATGACCAAGTGATCATAGTCATTCCTTTGCTGCTACTTAGACCAAAACATAAAGTTACTTGAAGAGTTAAGGTAAGTCCAGTTCAATAGCAACCATAAATCAGGAACTACCAGTGATATTTTTATGGAGTTAAAATCAAACCAACAAAATTTGTTATCAGATTAAGAGTCAAGTAGTGTAAGTTCTGTTTCCACTATCAGGCAAGATAAGGTGCTAGGATAAAGTGTCAGTTTTAGTAATACCTTAGAGAGATAAATGGTATGAAGCAATTGTTGGATAGTGGTTTTGAAGGTATGTATTCTAAAGTTTCTCTTTTTGTCTCATGTTGAGACAGAATGGTCTTTACAAACACAGTTTTATGTTTTCTCTAAGTTACCATCATATCTCTAAAGATGTTTATTATCAAAGATTTATTAATATTTTTGTTTTAATAAAATTTATTTATTTATGATGGACTAGACTGATATATAAAAGTCAAAAAAATTATGTAGGATTTTTCAGACCTACTGAATGGACTGCAGTGAAATTTGAAATAATTTCATTACTGTACTTATAATAAACAGGTTGATAATACCCAACTGTCTTTGAACTAGTCAAAGATACAACCAAGTTATTAAAGTTTTCACATCACCCTTGTGGGGTTCTAGATTAAAAGTAGACCTGTCTATTATCCTTTAATCTATGCTAAAACATTCCATTATTAGCTGGTAAATGAAAAGTGCACGTTTACAAAGTGGAACGCTTAACACAACTATTCTTTATTTCAAATCATACTAAAAAACAATTCCGAAGGAACACTAAAAGTATAATTTTAATTTGTTTACACATGAAATGTATTAATTTGAAAATATATCAATTAATGTGAAATACAGACAAAGCTTAAATTGGTTTAATGAATCATGTATTCCTGCTCTTTATATAGGCCTAACTTTGAGGATTTTAGATAACTTATTTCTCGTGAAATCTTACTTATTCAGATATATTTTACTATTACTACTTTGTATATATGTAATATACATTGTATGTGTATAATTAAAAAGTAAAGAAACAGTGTAAACATCACCCCCCACCCTCTGTAAGAAGAAACTTTTAAAAGGTAGGTGAAAAGATTATATTTTTAACATATTTCATATTAAAACAAAACTTAATAAAAAAGTTTCAATTTATCATTTTTATTCAAACCGAGTTGTAGCATTGTTGTAGTCTACTGTATGTGTATACAGGGTGATTGAAACAAGTGTGCCAGCCGTTTTATTCGAAAACCATAAGATATATCAAAAAAAGTTAAATGATGATTGCCTTTGATTTTTTATTTTAAAAATTTTAGTCAAGTCGAAAAAAATATTTTAGCCGCCATTTTTCCAATATGGCGGCCAACTTTGATTTTTCTTATGGAACACCCTGTATTTTATGATGTATTCCGGTAGAAAATGTATTTTTAAGACGATTTTACTCTTGTAATTTTTTTCATAAACCTAACCGTTTCAAAGATAATAATGGTTGTGAAATTTTGAATGGTTTTTGAATAAAACAGCTGGCATGCTTGCAGAGGCCTTTATAAAAACTCTTTCTTATACTGAAATTTCAAAACTTTAACCCCTTTAATAGCCTTTAGTGCTAACAACCACTTTGCGCTGAATATAAAAAATAAATTAATAAATGTAAAAAAAATGCTTTAGAGATTAAAACTAAAACTTTTACAAACTCTACCTATTTAATTTTGTAACTAGTTGTTTTGCCCGCTCCTCGCTCGGGAAAACTTAAAAAAAAAATTAAAATTAAAATTAATTCATAACCTGTGAAATATAGCTGTCAACCTCATAATTATCATGAAAATGATCACTATATTTAAAAAACTACACACTGTAAGAACTTAGGAATTTGAATGTAGATTCCACTTAAGCTCTAGGAGTGCAAGAAGGGTTTTCAAAACATTCCATCAGGACACTTCCCCAATGGTCTTTAAATCCCCCCAAGTTATCCTGGAGAAATGAGTTGTTTACATTTGAACAGATGATTTAAAATTACTCTATTAATAAAGGAAACAGCTGGTTATATAATTGTAATTCATGGAAACATTGTTTGTAAACATTTTTTGAAGGTTAGTTAAAATCAAAGTAGGCATACACTTTTGGGTGGATTTAAAAAATTGGTGGTTCACTACATAACACTTTTTGTATAATTTAAATGAATTTAAACTCAAGATATTTACACTTTGTTGTGGTTTTTAGGATGTTTCACTGGAACTAAATACCAGCATATTACTTAATGTGTAGGAGTATCAATGTTAAAGGAACAATTGTTAGGTATCGAGTTTGTTATTCTATTGTAAGTAATGACACCTTCCCTCCTCTATAACTTATGCATTTTTATTATAGGTACTGAAGAAAGATTATCAGAAGTTCTTGATATTAGTGTTAAATATTAGTTCCATTCTTGAAAATACTATTTGATTATCTTATGTCATCTATATATTGATAGGCAAGCATGATTCTTTAAAACCTTTTTTCTCAGCTTGTGTGCACCGCAGGGAAAATCTACGCATACTGTTAAAAAGATATTTTCCGGTAGATGTGCAGAATCTCATTATAAATTAAAATATGCTCAAAAATAAGTACCGGTACACAAAATGAATTTAAACTTTTAAAAAACTAACATATGGGCCTTATGGGTTGCTATGCTGGTTACAAAATAACAACGAAATATAAACAGAAAATAAAAACAAATGGAAGAAATTACAATCACATGTTGTATTTACAGTGTGGGTGAAAATAGAGAAGTCTGCACATTACATATTTTTGGTCAGATTTTCGACCACTGGACGACCTCTAGTACTTGTTGATCTGAACGAGATCACTTGTTTTGGGATTTTCTCGGGAATTGGATTCCTCAACCATTAGCGCTTTCGCGCCATAGCGAGTAACAGGTGTGTATTGTGAAAAATAGTCGTTAGCAAACCCACGACAGCTGTTGTGCTAGTCTAAACTGGGATGACAAAGAATACATTTAAACTCATACTTATTGTTCAGACTTGCTGATCATCCCAGACAGCACACTTTATCCCAGGGACATCCCATAGTAGTCCCATATGTCCTGAGAATGTCTCGGGATATGTACGCTAGCCTCAGGATATCCCGCAAAATCCCGGGACGAGTACGAAATCCACAGGATATCCTACAATATACCGTAATGTCCCGGGATTTGTAAGTTAACCTCAGGATATCCTGTAAAGTCCCGGGATATGTACGAATGCCATAGGATATCCCAGAATGTCCCATTACATCCCGGGACATGTACAAAATCCACTGGATATCCTGTAATGTCCCGGTAACAAACTGAAGCAAAAACTACTACCACTGATGAAATGTATATCTGGGGAGCGAGCTGGCGTAGTGGTTAGAGCGCGGGACTTCAGTCCCTGAGGTCCCGGGTTCGATCCCCGCCAAGTCACCAATGGATTTATCTAAGTGATAATGCCGCAACCCCTAGGTCTAGCCTGAAGTAATGTGAAAAACAATCCCAGGCTCGTGCCTAGCGTCCTAGGACAAAAAAAAAAAAAAAAAAAAAAAAAGATGAAATGTATATCTAAATTTAAATGTTCAACAAGGCCTATATATAATAATTTGTTTTATTCACTAGCGCTTTCAGAAACTAGGTTTCCATCTTCAGGCTGTGTTTACACTAGTACAAAAAGTAAATATTTGCTTAATAAATTAATTTTAAAACAGATGATTTAAAGGATATTGGAAAAATAAAAAATAATATTAGAAAAATTAATCTTTTGAATTTTGGATATATTACAGTGTTGTTTTTGATGTAATTACTTTCAGTAATTCCAAGTTTATAATTGAGCCGTCTTCACTATTTAACAAATAATTAATTTTGGTCTATTTTTCTATAAAATAAGATTCCTACGCATTAAGATGTTGAGGTTTTATAATTTGTTTTATAAGTTGAAGGTTTCCCAGAATGAAATGTGTCTTGTTAATACTGTGGCCAGCAAGGGCTGACTTTACTTTACTGACATATTACTACCACTGAGTTCAGGAAAACTAGAGTTCTATCATAGTTGTGTGAAATGTGTATTTAATTCCAACTTTAAATTAATAAAATAATCTAAAACTAATTTTAATCATATAACAAACAGTGATAATCTAATGGTAATTAAATTAATCTATATTCAAATACCAGTATCCTTTCCAACTACCAGAAAAACAATTCAACTACTTGAGGCCTAAACAGATTAACATAATCATATTATATACTGTAGTATCAAAAATATTTTAAGTATTGCGACTATTGCAACACACGACTACTCTTTCAACACTTGAAAACACTCATAATCACAGACAATATAATACAGACAATATAATACTTTAATGGTTTATTCCATTGTCTGTGCTCATAATCGTCAAGCGCAGATAGCTCAGGAGGTAAGGTAAGAGACTCATAAGGCGGAGGTACCAGGTTCGAGACCCGTCTGGGTCAAGAACTTTTTTCTCGTTTGTTTCTTCAAAATTTGTGTTTATTAACTATTTAATCAATTTACTCAACTTATAATTAACCTTTTCATACTAAATCTATATTATTTTGTGTTTTTTATGTTCAGGCCCAGACCACACTTTATCCCAGGGACATCCCATAGTAGTCCCATATGTCCTGAGAAAGTCCTGAGGACTACCCTGGGATGACCTCGGATGTCCCACGGATATGCTGTGAGCTTATCCGTAGGACATCCCCGGGCGGGGACATTACGCATTCCTGCGGATATCCTGGGATATCCCAGGTTGACCATAGGACTACTATGGGATATCTTGCATATCCTGTCGCAATATCCGTAGGATGTCCTGAGGAGAAAGTGTGCTGTCTGGGATATATCATTATTTCAAAGTTTTTGAGAAAACACAAGCACAAAACAAAAGTAGTAGTATAAATAAAACATAACACTAAAATATCATGCAGTTGTTTTTTTTTTTTTTAGATGCAGATGAGTTGTTGCAAAATGAAGTGAGTGGAAAAATGGCAAAATAATGGAAACTGAATCATTAGAGAGCTTGCTACCTCAAGAACCAGTTCTTCAGATAACAAATAGCTGTAGAGATCACTGTTTTAACTACCAGTTCAAGTTCAACGAAAGAAGAATAAAAAATGTAATTGCTTTAGCATTTTTAACAGTTGTTTTTGTGACTATCTACCACAGAGAAATACTAATAACCAAGTTATATCCAGAAGAAGACATCCCTTTCATCATCCCTGAGCAGCAGACAAATTCGGAACTAAGGGTAAATAAAACTGACTTGAGATCTGTAACTAATAAAACCATGTTTGTGGATGTGAAAGACATTAAACAAAGTGTACGTAATATATTTTTTACTGAAACCACCTGTGGTGCAGAGGCTTTAAAAAAAAGCTTTAGTGATACTAGAAAACTAATACTTAAGCCGAGACAGGTTTGCGCTATAGAATCTACGGCTTTGACCAATCCTGAACATTACATTTACATTCTTTACACATGTCCTCTGGATGGCTTAATATACTTTCCAGATTACGCCAAATCAATAGTTACCCTTCCAAATATTTTCATAGTTCAGCTAAATTTGACTGAATTTTTCAACAACACTCCAGTTCAAGATCTATACAAGAGCAGAACAATGGAAACCTCCAGTCATCCCAAGGAACATTTTAGTGACTTATTAAGGTATATTGTGCTTTGGAAATTTGGTGGCACCTACCTGGATTTGGATGTTGTTACGATCAAGTAAGTAGAAAAAAATTGAATTTGTAAGAGTTATGTTGTTAACTTTAGGTTAGGTAAAGAAGAGTTCATGCATTTGAACGTTCGCTACGGCAATATTACATCATTTTTTCATTCATATGGACCAGCGACACACATATGGGATGGATGGTTTTCACCCAACCACAGAAAACATAATATACTACTATTACCCAGAATGCTAACCGCGTGTTAAACAGTGTTAAGTACTCGGAGAGAGGTTTAATTGCCTGTCAATTCTTAGGCAGCGCCACCAGCATTGCTGGCTATACTGGTGCATTGTATGCTATGTTGGCGCGGCGCTGAGAGCTAGAGAGCTCCTGAATACAGGCTCTTGGTTTCCATGTGATGCAGTATGGGTGCGATGGATAATTGCACCCCTCTCCAACTACAGTACCTTGTGGGGTTTTTATTTCTTGTAGTACTCCCAACAAACCAAAAACGTCTTGCTCCCCTAGCCCTGCCTCTTAAAGTGGCCCTGCCTCTTAAAGAGGCCCTGCCTGAAAAAGAAAATGACACAGTGGCAGAATGCCTTTTACTATTTTTCTATTTTATATTCCGAAGAAGCCCACAAAAAGGCCCACATTTAACTTAATTTATATTGTCCGCTAATACTATAAACTGTCTACAACTGTTCTCTTGGTTAGCCAGTTGAGTAGCCATTTATTTTTTCCTAAATACATTTCATATGCCAAGTGGATATTCCTAAAAATGTCACTAAACAATTGAAAGCTATAGTAATAGTTGAATAAGTTGAAAAAGCAGGAGTGAACATTTTTTTTAACTAAATACTAAAATTGTGTCTATCACAGATCATTACTAGATCTGGGGAGCAACTTTGCTGGAGTTGAAGACTGGTCAGTCATCAACTCAGCAGTTTTGAATGTCGATTCAATGGGAAATGGCCACGAGTTAGTTCAGAAAGCACTGCAATATGTGAATAAACATTTTGATGGAAATGGCTGGATCTCAAATGGCCCAGAAGTCTTAACAAAAATGATCTTGAAAGAGTGCAACAAGGAAAAAGTAAGTACTTTACTTGTCATGATAAATTAAGCCCCTTTTGACATGTTTGGTGTTTTATATTAATTTTTGTTGAAAAATACTATTGTTTCAAGTTAATTTAATTAATTTAGTGAATAGTGCTTTCCAGGATTCTCAGGATTTTCTTAGAAATGAGAGAGCCATGTTACATAATGTCTTGAGTTATAGATTGAGTTAAACCAATATGCTTTCAAATAAGTGGCATCAGCAAACTTACGAATACTTTGTCCGAATATCTTGTCACCACCACTTATCGCGTAAGCGGTGGTTTTAAAAATCAATTAGGTATTATATAGGTAAAATCACAACAGTTGAGCTTTTGAACCGTAACTATTACAGCATTGGGATTGTACCATTTTGTTTAGAGTTAGAAGGGCCATAAAACTTAATTTAAATCGTTCCAGGCATTTTTGTAAAAACCAATTTTTAAAATAATTACCGGTATGTTATGAGTTTTTATAGGAAAAGATTAATCACTATTAAAAATGCAAATAAAAAAATGAAAAAAAAACTCTTGGAGATACCATTGATTAGTAGAAGCTAATTGATCTCTCACCCCGCATATACTGAGTTTATTCAAAATCTGACCACAGCTGTAGTCTGTAGCAATGTGCACATATCCATATACACACACAAACATACACACGTGACAAAAAGTACCTTCTCCGTATAGTATTGGAGGAGAGAGTAAAACTGTGATTGAATATTCAACGGCCATTATTTGACTATGATTTGTAATTGTAAGATGTAAAACTTTTCAAGGAAGAAAATGACTAAAAGTCAGTCAACTTCAAGGTTTTTTGTTTAGGAAAACTACATTCACTGATTGTATCTGTGTGTTCAGTTTTTTTATCTAAATGTTTTTCAACCGATTTCACTTTCAGATAGACGAGGAGCTTTTGAAGTGTGACAAGTTCCATTTATTTCCGTCCACGTACTTCTATCACATACACTGGACCCGAGAGGAAGACTTTTTTAACTCTACATTAGGTCCAGATATAGTGGAGGATCTGAAAAATCACTCCTATGTCGTACATATGTGGAACAAAATCAGTAATAGTCACGTTGTAAAAATAGGTTCAAACCAAGCTTATGGACTGTTAGCGGAGGAGTTTTGTCCAAACGTAATTGAAAACTCTGGAGGGGAGTTTTAAGACAACATTGTAAATGCAAATAAAACACCACCCCATTACAGCAAACTGCATACCATTTAATAATCCATTGAATAATTATTACTGATAGTTATTATATGTATTGAATTGTTTATCTGTCAAGCTTAATGAAATAGGTACAAAATATTTTTGGAAAAGTTTCGATTTCTGGGAAATAAACTCAACAATTTTTTTGAGGTACAACATCTATCTCATTATGAAGACTACAGTAGTTAATTCACTAGACTACATGGTAATCTCACTAATAATAGACTAATGCAAATCAGATATTCGTGTGTATTATACCTCATCAGTACCCACAGCAGCTAGAAAGCAAAATGCAGATTGAAAACTTCCAGTTGATTTATCACTTTTTAATCCCAACTATTCTCATATTCATCCCTAATATACATAAATTTTGCTCAAGGAGTAAGTTTAATACTAAAAATCAATTAAAAAAATTAATTGTCAAAGCTTACCATAAAGTAAACAGCCATACAAAGTTTTAAAGGTGTAAACAAAAGAAAAGAAACAGCTTAACCCAATTCCATAGTTTATTATTTTATTCTCCACTTATTTGTGTTTTTAAACTGATGTGGATGTTGCAAATTTATTTTAGTATATTTTTAAAATTGTAGGTAAAAGTAAAGTGTAGATGAAGTAAATATATTACATCATCTATAGTAAAAGCCCCAAAATATTTTGTACCATATAATACGATACTACCCCACTGGTAAAAATATTACTCTTTTATCAATCTATTCATTTAAGGTTGTATAACTACTAAGCTTTAACGCTTTTACTCAACTTTCAAATTCTTAGTGTTTATATGGCATTGGCAACAGGATGCGGCTTGCCGGAGTGCAGCGTCAGGCAGCACTCAGGGTAGCATCTTCCTACCAAACAGTGTTCGAACCCACCGTCCTGGTGATTGCTGGAGTCATCCCCGTCAAACTTTTGGCTGCAGAAAGGAAAGAAGGCAATATATCAGCGGCGTGGAGAGGACCAGGCAAGAAGCGAGGAGCGCGTCCGCACCTACCAGCTCTGGCAGGAGAGCTGGGAAAAGGAGACGCGGGGACGGTGGACCAGGCGACTGATTCTGCAAGTCACCCCTTGGGTAAATCGGCGGCACGGCGAGGTGGATTTTTACCTCACCCAATTTCTGATACGTCACGGATTTTTCCGGTCATACCTGTTCAGGATGGGCAAAGCTGTGTCATCCGATTGTATATACTTTGATTTGATTTGATTTGATTTGATACTGCCCAGGCACTCCTGATGACGCGGAACACACTTTTTTCCGCTGTCCACGATGGAAAAGGCCCCACCTGGAGGCTCAATACAACATACTATGTAGGTTACTGCTTAGTTTAAGTTTACAATGGCTGATAGTATGTACACCAAAGGTACGAATAGGTTCAAAATGGTGGAATTGATAAAATTAAATACATGTATGAGACAAAACATGCGAGGACAACAAAAATAAAGTTGCTTGAGACAGAAGTAGGGATTTAAAAATAAACAAGAAAAATAATAAAACTAAAATACTTTTATTAAAGTTGCAAACTTTTATTACTGGGTGGATCCAAACTTGTCTATTTCCACTTCTCCTTTTTACGTCGCGGATATAATAAATATAACAAATATAATCTTCAGTTGTAATCAGCCATCGTGCTATTCTGTCCAATGTAATATGAGGTGAGTTCTCTACCTCCGGTCAGAGTCAAGTAGTTGCCAGGACGCGGCGGTAGTTTAAAATGCCTTACCAACTTGTCGTGCCGGCGTTGTGTCACCCAGTGTGAAACGGGCCAATGTTTAGACTAAAACTTGAGACCACAATTCCTGTAGACTAGCGGGCAGTATTCATCAGCCAATAGACCGTACGCTTGAGTCGAACCAACCGTTATCAACATATTGTGGCTCATTTTGTTCCAAAAATGAACACTGTAGGAACTTTGTTTGATGTAAGAGACGATTTTCTCCCCTAGATTAGTTTGAAAGAAGTCCCCTGCAGATTCATAGTAGATTGTATATAAAATGGTTTTTTCCAATACTGTGAAGTTTCCATTGCAATGCTTTTGGGCCTCAGTTACCTGAAAATATTTAAAAATTGAGAAGGAATTTGACGTAGGAACTTAACTTTAAAATGGGTAACATTTGTCTGTGATATATGTCATGAATTCCAAGATTAGATTAAGGAGTATTTAGTAAACTATGACGGCTATCTTGTATAGGTACTTTTTATTTTGTAAATGCTATAGTACAACGTCAGCAAGGGATGTTTGACTGCTTGGTTTTGAGTTGCTTATATGCATGCTTAACACGTTCGCTACTGATTGCCACTTATATTCAACACTGCGATCATTGCCACGGACCGAGGTATATATTTTAATATTACTCATATACCGGGTGTGTTAGAACTCGTGTGAAATAAAGAACTTTACAAAATATTATCTAATAAAGAACTGATTTTATTCTGATAAAGAACAAATATTTTATAACATTTCTCTTTAACTAAATTGTTATGTTCTTCATCACTTTAAATTCTTTACACAACTCTTCTCAATAATTGTTTAAAATAAATTAAAATAAACCATCTGTTCAAAAAAACAAAGACTAATAAATTATTATATTTGATGTTGATCAATATAGAAATTTGTATTATATAAAAAACAACTTAATTTCCAACATCCTCCCCACCTTGGAATTTTGCTTTACGTCTTCAAAATTTCAAACAAAACTATTTACATGTTTTTTTTTATAAGTTCACAAGTCCATTTTCCTAGGGATTTTTATCTTTCTCCCTCTTCTTGTTTCTGTTGGTGTTGATGACTTATCTTCCACTTCAATATGTGCATCCTGATGCCTTGACATGTCCTTTGAATTTATTTCCATGGGGTAAAGTCTCTGGATGGGTCTTGTTAGTTCTCCTTTTGCTGTTTTTAACTTGGCTACTCTGCAGACTCCATCCTTTCCTCGTATTGTCTCCAACACTAGTGCTAGTGGCCAATTTATTCTTTTGATATTATCGTCACCTATTAGTACAATATCACCAGTACTTATTGTCCTCCTTCCTTTACCACTGTTTTCTTTAGATCTATGTACTAGCATTGCAAGGTATTCTTTCTTAAATCTTTATCTCAAATTTTGTCTTAAGCTTTGAAGATACCTCACTCGCTTGTTTAGAGTGGTTGAGTTAACAATTGGTTGTAGAAATACTGAAGGTGTGAGAGGTTGTAGCGTGTCATAGTCATCACTAATATAGGTCAAAGGCCTTGAGTTGATGGTAGATTCCAAATCACATAAAAGAGTCATTAATTCTTCATAATCTACTTTTGCCAATCTTAGATTTCTCCTCAACAGTTCCTTGACCATTCTCACTAGTCGTTCCCACATACCTCCCCACCATGGGGCACTTGGAGGATTGAATTTCCAGGTTATTTGTTGGATCTCGAATTTCCGAGAAATGGTTTTCCAATCCAACCGCTTAAGGATATTATTTGTACCGACAAAATTGGTCCCATTGTCTGTGTAAATTAGTGAAATTCGTCCTCTTCTGGATATAAATCGTCGTAAAGCAGATATAAAGGATTCCGTTGAAAGAGACTGTACCAGCTCTAAGTGCACAGCTCTGTACACGGCACATGTGAATAAAACCACCCATGCTCTTTCCCCGTTTCTTAGGTACAGTGGTCCTGCCAAATCAATGCCTGTAGACTGGAAAGCGTTGCATTCTGTGATCCGTTCTAAGGGAAGTGGAGCAACTGGTGCTTCTCCTGCTTTAGACTTGAATCTCTTGCATTTGGCACAGTGAGATAAAACATTGCGAATGGTTTTTCTACCCTTTAGAATCCAAAACCTATCTCTGACTATAACTAACATTGATTGAAGTCCAGCATGTTGATTAGCAACATGAAGTTCCATAATGATACGTGTGACGATAGGATGACCTGAAGGTAAAAGAATCGGCAATTTGAAATCTTCACTGTCGTCATTCAGAACTAGTCTGGTCTTCACTCTTAACAAACCCTTGTCATCGAAGAAAACTGGCAAGTTTTTCTGGAATTTTGATTTTTCTCCAAACGAGTTCTTTTGGATACATAAGATAACTTTCTCTTCAGCCATTTGAATCTCTTCACTACTTAAAGTTTCACTTTTTGATTCTTGATTGTGGCTTGAGTTCCTAATAAATCGTAAAATCCATGCTACCATTCTTAACAGTTTTAGGTAGCTTGAAAAGTATAGTAATGACATTGAGAAATCAATACTTTTTTCTGTAGTTACTGCTGATATAATCTTCTTTTTCCGTTCAGTATATGCTTCTGAATCTGGTAGCATAAGACTCGACACTGGCCACTGAGACTCATCATTTTGAAGCCAATACGGTCCTTTCCACCATTGAGATTCATAAAGTGTCTTAGCTCCGCAACCTCTTGAAGGCAAATCAGCAGGGTTAAGATCTCCTGAAATGTGGTGCCAATCATCTTTAGAAGTAGTGTTACAAATTTCCTTGCACCTGTTCCCAATGAAAGTTCTCCAATCCTCCTTCTCTTTGATCCATGTCAGTACGATTGATGAGTCTGTCCAAAAATATGTTTTACATGACATCTTCAACGCCTTTTGAACATGTGTGTAGATCCGAGCTCCCATAAGTGCGGCCAACAGCTCCAATCTTGGTATTGTTGCATTCTTCGGGGCAATCCTAGATTTTGCATATATAAGCTGCACAGCTACCTTGTTTTGAGACTTGGTTCTGATAAAAAGACAAGCTGCATAAGCCAGTTTACTAGCATCGCAAAATATATGAAAACTAGTCTCGTTTACGGACTGACTCCCTAACAGAAATAGTCTTCTTGGTATTCGACAGCTTTCCAACCAATGAATATTTTCAACCCACTTTGAAAATTGGCATGATATTTCATTTGGCAGTTCTTCATCCCATGTCAGTTTTTTCAGCCATGCCTCCTGCAAGAGTAACTTAGGTAATAAAGACACAGGACAAGTGAAACCTACCACATCAAAAATTCGCTGGGCTACTGAGAGTAGATCTCGTTTGGTTACCTTCTTGTTTGGCATAGAAATGGATCGTATGTCACAAAAAATCTCATCCTTTTCCCTGTCCCACAACATGCCCAGTAATGGTACAATATTTTCTGTTGAAAATTCATTTTCAAGGTTACTGACATCTGAATAGTTGCTAGCCCATTCTCTTAATTCAAACTGTCCTAGCTTCATTAGTTCCATGGATTCATTTACAAACTTTTTTAGTTCTACTGCAGAGTCAACACTAACAATACAATTGTCAACATAAAAGGCATCTTTCAGTTTCGCAGCTGTCTCTTGTAGATGAAGTGGTGCGTCATCCAAATGGTGATTTAGTGTGGCTCCTAACAGAAAGGGACTGGAGGTAATTCCAAAGACAACTCTGCAATGTCTAAAAGTTGTCAATTTTCTAGTCTTGTAGTCTTCCCACCAAATGAACCTAAGGTAGTCTCGGTCTTGAGGAGCTAAACTGATCTGTAAAAAAGCCTTTTTTATGTCTGCTGTTACTCCAATCTGGTGCTTCCTGAATTTCATTACAAGAGATGGAATCAACTCTACTAAATTTGGACCTGTAGCCAAACATTCATTCAAAGAATGCCCTCTTCTGTCCTTTGTAGACGCATCAAACACTGGACGCATTTTAGTAGTTAAGCTACTCTCTTTTATGACTGGGTGATGAGGCAGGTAATGGACCTTTGTTGACTCTGCTGATTCTGGAACATTTTCTATAATCCCTTCTTCTAACCATTCTTTGAAGACTTTATCATAGTCGTTGAATTTGTTAAGGGTATTTAATCTTCTAGTTGATGACATCAAACGTCTCTCTGCAATTTCATGATTGTCTAGAAGTTCAGGATGACCCTCCAACCACGGCAAACATACTTCGTACCTATTCTCAACATTCACTCTTACATTTTCTTTAAAATGTTGAAATACTTCTGCATCAATGGAGTCTCTCTGCTTCACCTCAATAGGGTCCTTGATTCCGATTGTCTCCAAGCTCCATAGATCTTTAATTTCAGATTTAGACTGGCAAAATAGAGTTAGCAGAGACATTTTACGACTTCCTCTGCATGGCTGCTTCCCCATCACGGTCCACCCAAGGTACGTTTCGATAGCGACTAGTTTGTCATCGATCTTCTGCATAGTTCCTGTGTACAAATCCACTAGTATATCTGCACCAAGTAAAATTTTAACATCTGGTACATTTTCACCCACATCAGTTAAAATAATGTTCTTTTCTTTTAAGATGTCAAAGTACTCTTCACTCTTAAGCCTAGGAACATGGTTGCAAATTGTTTCTTGATCTGTCACAGGAATAGAGATCTTGAAAGAGTTATTTACATTCTGAAGAGTCACTAGGTAGTTTTTATGAGATTTTTGTTTTACATTTACACCACCAAACAAGCTATGATTTATGACTTCACTACCTGTTTCTTGTAGACCTAATTTAGTGACACAGTCCTTCGTAATGTAGGATCTCTGGGAACCTGGATCCAAAAGTGCTCTTCCCAAATATTCTTTACCTTTATCATCCACAACCTTAACTAAAAGAGTCTGTAATAGAGTTTCTCCTTTACTATTTTCAAAATTGCTGAGAACCTCTGACTTAGGCTTAGGGCTACTTTGCTGCTGTAGATTAGAATCTGGTTTATCAGCATCAATTTTAGATCTACTTTCATACAAGTCCCTACACATGATTCCATAATGCCTTTTACAACAGAAGAGGCATTTTACAAATACCTTACATATTTTTGCTGCGTGGCCTTGTCTTAAGCATACAAAGCAGCAGTTTTTCTTAGTTAGATGTTCCTTCCTTTCATTTAATGTCAATTGTTGAAATGAGGAACAATCTTGAGCATTATGACCTCCCTTAGAACAGTAAATGCAGTTACTCACCGACCCTTTATGACCATCTGTACCAGTTGTCAATAGAGCAGCTGCCGTAGGTTGACCCTGACGAGGTTCGTGAACTGCTGACCTTCTCTTTTGGCTGCTACACTTGCTGTTGTTCTCTCCTGGAGTGGCAGATTTAAAACTCGAACGAGCAAGAGCCAGCCTTTCTTCACTCTCCACCTCAGCCTTTAGAAAATCAAGAAGTTCTTGTAAAAAATTACTCGATTTATCATCTGACAATGTAGAAGACGAGGGTGTGTGTGGTAACTTACTTGAACGATGCCGCTCCCAGGCTCGTAATGTTTCTTCGGGCAAAGCAGATTCTACCAGAGGATACAGCATTGAAGCGTACTTGTCTGAAGTGACTCCTAAAGTTTCAAGTGCCCTTAACTGTGTTTCTAGTTTGTCATACAGTCGGCACAGTTTAGTATTAGGACCTAGCGTTACTTGTTGGAGCACTAAACTGAGCAGTTCCCTCACATATACTTCTATTAAAAAGTGCTTCATCTTTAATATCCTCTGCTAGTAATTTATCCATTTCATTACTACACTTTGTAAAAGTCCTTCTTAGTTGAGTCCTTTTTGTATTTAATGACTTCAGCTTATCCATTGTAAAGTAAAATATAAGCTTAGTCCTAAATCTGAATTTTAACTATTAAAATGTCCTGTCACGGTCGCCACTATGTTAGAACTCGTGTGAAATAAAGAACTTTACAAAATATTATCTAATAAAGAACTGATTTTATTCTGATAAAGAACAAATATTTTATAACATTTCTCTTTAACTAAATTGTTATGTTCTTCATCACTTTAAATTCTTTACACAACTCTTCTCAATAATTGTTTAAAATAAATTAAAATAAACCATCTGTTCAAAAAAACAAAGACTAATAAATTATTATATTTGATGTTGATCAATATAGAAATTTGTATTATATAAAAAACAACTTAATTTCCAACAGGGTGTCTCTTGGTTCACAGTAAACGCAGACAACGTTCCAGTGATGCAGTGAAGTAATTAAAAACCAGTTTGCCATGCAACTATCATATGAATTCCACTAACTAATAATCATACTACTAATCATCTACAACTAATCATCATATCCACAGACCAAGTGACGCACATATGTTACAGACATCTATGTAGACCACTGCAGAGAATTTAGGGCCTTCAAATAGACCGTTAAAAAGATATAAACTTTTTAATAACACTGGGACACCAAGGCAAATATGTGACATCAGTCTATTTTAATGTGACCAGCTGTCGCATATATGCGACGGCAGTCTATGTGGAAACCGACCGCTGCATTTGCATATGTGCATCGCTGGACATATGAATGAAAAATGTAGTACTATTGGGGTAGCAAACGTGTCAAGAGTATAAACTATGAGAGAGACCTTCAAGCTCTATAAAAAGGTTCCCCAACATTTTACAGAACTGTGATGTGGTTTGAAAGTCTTCTAAGAAGTCCAGCTTTTTTGTTCTCACTCGCACAAGCACTTCTAAAAACTATCCTTTCAATATTGTAGACCATGAGGGGAGGGATTAGAGATTATTTGTTAGGAGCATGGATTCTTAAATTTTCTGCCCCAAAATTCCCAAGGGGTCAGGGGGGGGGGGTATGGAATACTCCCCTGTTGAGATGTTAAAATCCTAACAATCACAGTGTGATATCATTGGCCCAGCCAGCACTGTGCTTCCCCCAATTTAAAGACTTGAATCCACAAAGTAATAAGTCATGAAGAGAACAATCATTCTACCCAACCAGAATACGAAATATTTTGCAATACAATCTAACTAACCTTTATATTTTCAAGCTGAGTATAATTTTTGCTTTAAAAAAGACATCCTTCTAACAATTATTTGAAAAAATATTTTTCAAAATCTTATCAAGGGCATTATCTCCACCCTCTCACTCTACCGATGTCAAATATTCAGTCTTGGTGCAATAAAAACTAAAAATTAGATTCCGACTGACACTGTTTCAGTTTAAAGACAGTTCACTTTCTTCATTTATATTAATAAGCTAAAACCTTGGTAGTTGGAAACTACTGTTTGGCCTTTAACATAAACTGGTTAATAATATAAAATTATCTATTATTAAAATATAATATTATTAAATACTCCCAATGGCCAAGAACAGCAAATATCATAATGAAAGATCATTGTAGATATAACTTCATGTACCACTCCAAGAACTTATTCTTCTAAAGAAGTATGTCATTTAGTGTAATTAAGCTGTGACCTGCAAAAAGGGAGGATCAATAAAGAGCGAGGCACAGGATTTTGGGTCAACTTGGAGTAATCTAAGGCACAGACAGGTATCGGGTAGGCTACGATGGGGAGTGTTCTATGCTCCTACAAGAGGTAAAGGGGTTAAATCAAAGTATATAACAAAGCACACCTTTTGCACTTTGCATTCCTGTAAGATGATGGGAGTGATCAGAAGTGGCCCGTTAGCAGACCAATCATTAGGGTCGTAGTGTTTGTTTACGTGCTCTAGCGCTCTCTGGAGTATTTGGTGACCAACACCTTCAGGCTCAAAGTTGAGAACTCCATTAGCAATGACCTCTGCATCCTGCATGCCAGCCCAGTTGGTCTTCAGCTTGTTGAGTGACCTGAACATGAGGAAAACAATATTGACTATACTCAAAGATACTGTATCTAGAATATCTGATGTTTCAAAAATTCCTTTAATATACAAAATACACAATGAGTGGATTGTCTTTTATTACATGTACTTCCTTATTAGCTCTTTGGTGGGTTCTTGAAGATACAAAGTGGTATAGTGGAAAGTAGGAATAGAATTAGTGATCCCAATTTTAAAGTAATGAGTTTTTTCATTGAACTTTGGTTAAATCTTCTTTGCAAGGCTACTTAATACAGATGATGATCTACATAAACCAGTACGGTACTATTTTTGTTTGAAGAAGAAAACATATAGAAAACAAGAGCCACTCACAGTCTAAAAGGGTATTTTCTCCATAAGTTTATGTTACCCTATTGAGAAAGTTGAAGGGACATAACTTTTATCATTATTATCACTATCAATCGAGATGGAGATGCCACCTGGGTAGCATTTTAACGCAAATATAAGCAAAGGAAGAGTGTAGAATGGAGTATGATCTGTGTAGCTTTGTCACTAACTAAAACCCGCTGTTTCATTAGCCAGGATAATTTATTTAAAGCCAATGATCAGCCAACTGGGTCCAGTTTTGAACCATCAAAAAGCTACTGACTTCTTCTTCTCTCTGGATCGATCTGGCAGCCTTTTAATTGTAGGTAGAGCAAGCATTATTACCACTTGGTTACACAGCCAGTCATATGCTATAGGTAACAATGGTTTGTCTGCTGTATCAGTTTGACTTCCTAAAAAAATTGGCGTATTCTGCATTGCATAAATCAGTTATTTCCATCAATAACTCAATTCAACTAAGTCGATTGCGATCTTAAAACTGGTGACAGCCTTAACATGAGGATGAATCATTTGGTTTCGATAGTCAAAGGCCAATGGTTTTCTTTTCGTATACAAATACTTAATATAGTTTTTTATACATATGAAAAAGGCCCGCCTTTATTAGAAAATTAGAAATAGATTTGAAAATAGGCATACACTTTTAGCCAATAATTAAAAAATCCATGGATTTTTTAGATAATTAATTAACTTTTCGCTAAACTTGTATCTAAATATAATATAGCTTTTGTTAATGTTTTATCTCAAGCTTACCTGATTGTAATTACGTCCAGGTCACAATAAGTTCCCCCAAATCTCCATAGAAGTGTCAACCTTACTAAGTCACTGGTATGTTCTACTGGGTAATCTGAAGTCTCAAGAAGTTTCTTCCTGTGAAGATCTTCCAAGGGAGAACCCGCAAATATTTCTGTTGTGTTCAATCTAACCACATGAATGTTTGGGAGCTTGAAGAGTTTCTCAACAAATTTCGGAGAGTATTTAAAAAAGTTATCATCTAACGGACAGGAGTGAAATATGTATACTTTATGGTCTAAATTCATCTCCGCTGTTGATTCTATGGCACAGCATTGACGAGCATTGAGTACAAATCCTTTATTGTCTTTGTTCTGGGCTGCCATTTTTTCAGTTGCACATGTTGATTCAATGAAAAATATATTTTCTGTAGATTTTCTAATATCTGCCAACCCAACAAATAGCTTTCTTCCGCCAACTTTTTGTCGTTCGGCGTAAACCTTTTTTAAGGTCTTAATGGTCTCACTCTCTGTTTTGAAATCAGTTTCAGTAATATTTTGATTGTCAAAACTGCTGTTGGGTTCAGATTTACTAAGGAGTATGTATTCAGTAGCGTTGTGATTGGAAGATTCGGTAGCATCAGCTACATCAGCTGTTGCTACCTTTTGACTTTTGGTTGATGAGATATATACCTTGAAATAACCATCCTCATTCTTGGGAACATAATCTCCTGTGGCTAGCAAACCTGCAATTACGTAAAGAAGGCATATACTGAAGAAAGATATGAGGAATACCAATTTAAATCTTTTACTATCTTTCATTCGCTGCTTCACTTTTGAGATGATTCATAAAGCTTATTGATTCATTCCCATTGTGTTGTTTTCAAGATCTGAAAAAGGAAACGTTTAATGAAGGTGATAAAATCCATTCTTGTTAAAAAATAATGTTTTTTTTTTTAATAAACATAGTATACGTTAGAGGTGAATTATTAGGGAGAAGTTGATCCTCAAAACCGCAAAAAAATATGATCAGCAAGAATAAAAAGAATTGTTTTAAGGAACTTTACTCATGCCTCTAAGATTAGCATTTGGATATTAAATTAAATCAAACAAACTTGACTAAACAACTTATCATAGACAGAATTGTTTGTCACCTGGATTCTCTCATTGATAGTGACTCAATCAATACATTACCTACAAACTTGAGACAAATAAGCCTGGCATTGTTCCTGAACAACAATTTGTGCTGAGTTACAAGAACCTGCTGTACTATTTCATTATTAAGTTCATAAAAAAAACAATTTATTTCCACACAAAGCTGTTATAATAGTTTTATTATCTTTTACTAATTGTACGGCATTTGAGTTTATTATGTTTTATTCAGTTTTTTTTAGACTATCGTATACTGTAGTACATTTTTCAAAATTTGATAATGATTTTGGTAAATTTTCCTGGCTTTATAAAAATCTATTATTTGTCAGTAATACAGCTACAAAGAACATCACACTGTATTCTACTTACCTTTTATTAATATTTAGGTAAAATATGCCTATTATAACTTAAATAATATAGTAAATTTGGCACAATCTACTGAGTGTTTATTTAAAAACACAACCCCCATTACAGATACTGTGAGACACTGTTTAGGGGAATATAAAATAAATCATAATAAAATCACATAACAAAAAATAAAAGTACGCGTATCTCTTAAACATAAAATCATATAGGTCTACATTCTCATAGGTGCATCGGCACTACTTTTATATCATCCCAGGTTTCACCACCTTAGTTAAAAACAAAACTTTTATCATAAGTAGTAGGCTAAAGTTGCATTCCGTTTCTGAATAAAATGGTGGATGCGGAACAATTATTTTACAGCATTTTAAAATATCCAACACTCTTCCGAATTCTCACCCCGTTGCAAGGAACAACATCTAATTTACAATCAATTCCCAACTACACTAATTAAACCCATGATCAATATTATTTATTACTACATTAAACCATACAGTATAACTATACAAACATACATATCTGCTGATTGGTTATGAAGTAATGAAAACAGGGATGCCAACATATGAGGTTGTTTTGTTGTTAAACAGTCTTTCACGGTACTTGCAATTTGGGTTGCATTTTACAAAAATCACCATGGATTATGCTTTGTTTGTTACCTATTAAAGCATTAAGTAATTAAGTACATAAGTAAGTGAAAAGTAAAAAGAGTAAAAGGAAGTAAGTAAGGCGTACATTCAGATTGGTTGTAATATTTTTAAATTTACCTAAAACCTGGGGTTACATTTGATTTTTCTTCAGTAAATATACAATTCTCATGCAAAATACAATTTTATGTACTTTATGATGAAACTGAAGGTGAATTTTCAACTGTAAATGAAAAACGCTTAGTGTAGGATTATTTAGTTTATGCAAAACCAAAGATTAACAACTCCAAATGGTTTTTTGTAGAACACTGCTTTTAAAAATTTGTATTAAATAAGACTTCCTAAATTCAACTAAATTGTAATTATGTTTCTAGGGATTAAGTAAAACAAAATACTAACATCTAAAAAAGCCTTAGTTATCACATGACCAGATGAGTCAGAATTGAAAATGTTATCTTCTATTTATGTGATGAGTGTAATAGTATTTCATGTTGTCAGTAAAAAGATTATTTCCTCTTACAAACACATTATAATTGCTGAAACATCTAAATCAAATTCATATAAACTGTAACAAGATAACAAATAATACAAATTTTTGAAGATTTAGTTCGGCTGTTTCATCACAGGATTCAACATGTGGTGGAAAATCGTGGTAAATATTTTATTTTATTTCAAACATTTTGTTCATAACTCGTAATATTACCAGTAAAATTAAGTAAATTGTGGAACAGTATTCTGATACACACTCTCTTTCATCCCAATTAAAAGGTATTTAACTACCTCAGCTTGCAAAACAGGTTCCCAAGAATGATTTTCAAGTTGTTAATACCAGGACAACTGAATTATTAATTTTGAAGAGATTAGATTCCTATTTTTAATATTCACATTAATATGGGTTGTCAATTTAAAAGTAGGGATCCAAACGTTTTTGTAAAAAACAACTATTATTTAAGTTTGAAAATCTCCTTTGTGTTGCTTAAACTTTTCGGAATTTTTGGAATCAGGTTCAAAAATTTGTAAAACACTGGATTCTTTTACTATCTCTACAAAATAGGTCTTATTTTGATACTAGCAAATACGATGGCGGTTTTGTTAGGTAAGGGCGTTTAGGTAAGGGGTTAATGGGGTAATGGGATTTATGGGTAAGTAAAGGGTTATCCCCCGCAGTGAGGGGTTTTTACATATGATTCGTAGTACGCTTGTACCCTGCAACGAGGCTCCTTGCTTACTGACATTATTTGTGAACAGAATTACATCATTTGCAGCTCTGTAGCTGACACTTTGCCTTGTGTTTAACATTTTTCAACTATTGAATCTCTCGCCGGGTGCGAGATAAGGTTGGTGATACGTTTTTACCACAAGAAACATATCCGATGCTGACATTCATCGCCAGATGAGTGAAGTTTACAATGCAATGATAGCGGGGAAAGCGCAGAAATATGCTAGAGTTTGGAAATGGCAGTGAAAAAAGGTTATGGATGGAAGGAATGTGGTTAAGTCACATAGTCATTATTTAGTTATGGGATCTTATTATGTCCTTTGCCATCAAATAGCATCTTCAAGATGTTTTTTAGTGTAAAGAAATAACAAGGCGGTATAAATAAATTTAAGAGTTATTGTTGAAAATTATGACTGAAAACAATGCTGTTTCAGGGAATGATGGCTGCTGCCTCCTTTATAGGGTCTTTCTTGGGATCCTTGACTGAGCTTTACATGGCCTACAAGAGTGTGCAGGAAGTCAGTCGAAGAATGAAAATGGCGCAAGGGAAAAAGCCTCAAACCCAACAGCCCGGGAGCTTTACAATGGTCCCTGAAGAGACAACAAGTAAAACAACTTAGAAGTGGCGGATTTGATTAAAATTGAAGAAAATTCTTACCTAATTGAAATGTTTAAATGTACCTAATCTAAAATAATGCAGTTTTTAATATAGCTTCATAAGTAAACTACTATAAAGGTTAAACTAAATTGGTATAGGAGTGTCATTATCCCTGTAAAATAGTTTGAGATTCAATTTTAGAGTGTACAAAATATTCTCAAAAAGAATTGCGAAAGAAATAAGCAAAGCTTTAATAAAGCTTGAATGGGTGGACTAAACTGTTCATATTCCAAGATATTATTGCTCAAAAACCTATTTGAACAAGCAAACTAAACAATAGTCTTTAACGATAAAAGAAGATAAAATTGATTCTGTAGGCATAAGTCAACTACATAAGAAGTTCTCATACATAAGAACACTCACAATTAATTTGTTCATATGCCTCAAAATACAAAGGGAAAGTGGTATGTGTTGAAAGGGAATTGGGAGCGTTTGTGGACAAACTTGTTCTAAAACTGTTTGAAAAGAGCGAGATTTCGCTTTTGTCTAGAATGTAATCGTTTTGTAAAACACTGGTTTCGTGAACTTTTGTATATTTTAGTAAATACTGTGGTTTGAAAAGTTTATTTTGAAAGGCACAATTTTGTAAGATCTTCATGAACAAGATTTAGATTTTATTTTTAGCTATCATCTGTATTGTGAAGAAAATAAAATAAATATTGACACATTTCAATCTAGTCATGCAAATCCGACGTGCACTGAAATAGAAATTTTAAGAACCCACGATAGAATTCTAGTGAATTTGCAATAAACTGAAAAACACAGATAACAACTAACACAAAAATATCTCTTGAGCTTTTACATGCTTTGCAGTAGGATACAAGCTGAAACAAACGTAGCGAAATAAACAGATATACTTCCTTGTTAGTAAAGTTTACTCTTGATAATCCGACACTCTATAGTCCGTCACACTCGGTAATCCGGCAATGGGAAATATGAGTCATCGACCGATATCAGAACTAACAGTGGAGTTTGATCCAAATTCCCAAAACGGCCTAGGCCTACTCATATATTTTTTTAATTTTTTACTATACATTCGATAACTATTCCATTTTAGTTATCTATAGTTCCTCTATAACAATTTTCGTAAGTTTTCAAAACGTAATTGAATAAAATACAAATTTTTCTGAATAGGATCCTTAAGAGTCAATGAAAAGAGATTCGATTATGTGACGACGATGTGCTATTTTACCACTAGATGATGTCCTGTCACCCAATTTTATGATGTAATCTAGGTACTAGTAGAACCTGCAGGCCTACTTTAGGCAAAATTAACCGTGAAAAAATACAGAAAGTGAGATTTAGGAAAATCAAAAGATAAAACAACCTCAACTAACATAAATAACATAAAAATGAAACCTATTCATGGCAGACACAATTTTTTGTACATATCATTGATATTTGCTTGCAACTAATAAATTAGTTGCTATCTGACCTGCTGATGCATAAAAAAGTATGAAAAAATATCAATAGCCTACATAATTAGCAATTGAGAAATAAAATCACAAAAAGTGCGTAATTTTGACTGTTAATATAAAACCTTATTCTCAAACGTGTAGAAAACGAACTGAAGATAAGTTTATCCCGATTTTTGTTGCTTTAAAAGTACGTAAAAGACAATCTTTGACTGGATATGTGGTAATCGTTAAACAAGCAAATATTTCACTACCAATAAAATATATTTTTGAACTAGATGACTCTGAAATAGACTGTAGTCTTACCTGGAGCGGCAGTTAAGACGAAATGACGCTTAACGGCAACGCAAGTTTGAGATAGGCTATATCACCTGAACAAACAAAGACTTCGTCATCATTCTCCCAGGTGCGTCATATTGCCCAATCATCACGGCCTCATTCAAATCCACCACTAGACACTTCTCTTTTGATCTAGTGGTAGACCTCGGGATTTCAGAGCCCAAGGTCCCGGGTTCAAATCCCGTTAAACACCAATGTATTTTATAGATGTGATAATACCATTAAACTTCAATTCACTACAAAAAGCCGTTACCAAATAAATGAAATAGCATAGTTTGGTGTAAAAACAAAAGGGTGGGTGTGCGTATTGAAATTTTTTAGTTTTGGAATTTTTAACGTGGAAGTTTGTCTTTGGACCAGGAACTATACCTTAAAACGTAATTAGGGTGTAGGAAAACGCTGTATAAAGTGAAAAAGTCCACTAACATATACACAATTTACGACAAATAATCCAAAGGGCCTATGTTTTGTGTTAAAAAAGTAGATTATGTCAAATATTATAAGTAGGGACACCGATAAAGAGATGCAACCAACAATCTCTAGTCAAATAGCTTCACTGCCTCGACATTCATTTAAACAATATTTCGGTCAAAGTAGTAAACGTATCTGGGACTGTAACGTTGTTGTTTAGGTCGTATAAATCGGTAAGATGTAATACTAGGTGGCGTTCGCAGAGGCATCCACAAAATTGAGCGGAGTCATCAAGGGTTTATATTATATTGTTTTGGTCATACTACAGTAATCTCAGTCGTTTTTAATGCATGCGTTGCGGGTCAATGAAGTGTAGCAATTTTACTCTTTAGGAAGTAAAAAAAGTGTTTATCCTCTATGGAGTAAAAATATTTTTTATCCTCTATGGAGTAAAACTCAGCTGTTATCAACTCAGTTGTAAATTTCTATCATAAACGATTGCATGTATCGAAATATGTATCGATTCGTGCTTCGAAATTATTTTAACCTACAGTCTACAGTCTCTTCCCAAAGCGTTTTAGCTTTGCAGATACATTAATCCATTCCCACACTCAACACACTCACCTTTACTACTTCCTTCACCACCCCCTTGCGTCGTGGACCTATTTCCCTCTCTTCCTATAACATTTTAGGATTGCAGATATATTAATTAATTGTAAAGTAATTGCCAAAGACAGTTCCAACACTATGCACTGCAAGCCTTACCACTTCCTTCACCATTTCCTACGTCATAGACTTGTTTCCTTCCCTTCTCATAGCATTTTTGGATTAAAGATACATCAATCTAACTGCCACAGACGGTTTTCACACTATGCTCATGCTTTACTACTATCTAAGCCCTTTTCTACATCGTGGACCTGTTCTCTTCACTTTCCATAGCAATTTAGTATTTTAGATACGTCAATCTAATTGCCACAAACATTCCCCACACTCCGCACTGCTAGCCTTACTACTTCTTCCACAATTTTCTATGACGTGGGGATGCTTCTATCCCTTCTCAAAGCATTTCAGCATTGCAGATACATTAATTTAACTGCTACAAACCGTTTCCAGTTCCCACACTCCACACTCCACACTGCTCACCTTACTAATTCCTTCACCACTTCATACGTCTCGGACCTTTTCTCTCCCTTCCCATAGCATTTTATGATTGCAGATACCTTAATCTAACTGTCATAAACAGTTCCTATACTCCAGACAGCTAGCCTTGACTACTTCCTTCATCACTTCCTATGTCGTGGACCCGTTTTCCTCCCTTCCCATAGCATTTTATGATTGCAGATACCTTAATCTAATCGTCATAAACAGTTCCCACATTTCGAACAGCTTGCCTTGACTACTTCCTTCATCACTTCCTATGCCACGCAACTGTTTCCCTCCCTTTCCATAGAATTTTATGATTGCAGGTACCTTAATCTAATTGTCATAAACAGTTCCCACACTCCGGACAGCTTGCCTTGAATACTTCCTTCATCACTTCCTACGTCGCGGACCCGTTATCCTTCCTTCCCATAGCATTTTAGGAATGCAGATATCTTCATCTAATCGTCATAAACAGTTCCTATACTCCAGACAGCTAGCCTTGACTACTTCCTTCATCACTTCCTACGTCGCGGACCTGTTTTCCTCCTTTCCCATAGCATTTTATGATTGCAGATACCTCAATCTAATCGTCATAAACAGCTCCCACACTCCGGACCGCTCGCCTTTACTAATTCCTTCACCACTTCCTATGCCACGCAACTGTTTCCCTCCCTTTCCATAGAATTTTATGATTGCAGGTACCTTAATCTAATTGTCATAAACAGTTCCCACACTCCGGACAGCTTGCCTTGACTACTTCCTTCATCACTTCCTACGTCGCGGACCCGTTATCCCTCCTTCCCATAGCATTTTAGGAATGCAGATATCTTCATCTAATCGTCATAAACAGTGCCCACACTCCGGACTGCTCGCCTTTACTACTTCCTTCACCACTTCCAACGTGACGGACATGTTTCCCTCCCTTCCCATAGCATCATAGGATCTCAAATACCTTAATATAATGGTCGTAAGCAGTTCCCACACTCCGGACAGCTTGCCTTGACTACTTCCTTCATCACTTCCTACGTCGCGGACCCGTTTTCCTCCCTTCCCTTATAATTTTTGGAATGCAGATACCTAAATCTAATCGTCATAAACAGTCTCCACACTCCAGACTGCTCACCTTTAGTACTTCCTTTAACACTTCCTACGTCGCGAACCTCAAGCTAGTGTCGTCATTTGATTATTTTATGATCCATACCACCGTTTATGTTCTAATATCTGTGGAATAATGCTATCAGCTATTTATTTATCTACTGCATTCAAAAGTCAACAGCTGATCATATGTCTTTGTTTATGTGTCAAATACTGCTTCCATAAGGATTACATTGAAACTTTGAGGCCCAGTGGGGCGGATTCCCGAGAGTTATTTTTAACGCCATATAGATGTTGGCACTAACCGATATGGTCTTTATCACCATCCAAAATTTGAAAACGATTGATTCAGCCGTCTAGGAGGAGTTTGCGTATTACGAAATGCATAAAAGTCGACGTATAAGAGCTTCGCTCGCTTCGCTCGCTCCGCTCAATTAAAATCAGAAGTAAATGTTCAAGACACAAAATGTGTTTGCTTCAAAAAGTAAGTGTTATGAGCGAAATGGAGTAACTGCTTTACCTTAGCCAATGGCCAGCCGCTGCTGGAGTCAGTCAGTAAAGTTAACATTTTTGAATTTTGGCCCCACCAATGATGTGACATAATTTGCATGGGAAAGCCAAAATAACCAATTGATAGAGCCGACAAGTAGTATAACCCTACTGACAATCAGCAACCTACATTATGATATGAAATCACTTGCTGCAACTACGACGGCTATTTGATAAAAATTCAGTCGTTATAACACAGTAGACATCACAGGAGTTTTTAAAATTGCACAGTATTAAATTGCTAGAATTGAAAATAAACATAAATCTTCATTCTAATGTGTCATTTCCGGTAACGAGAAATCCTTCCAATGTAGAAATGTCAAAATAACTCTTTCGTACGTACATAGCTAACGTTTAGCAATATCTTGTGTAACAAAATCAAAAACATAAATTAAATATGTTACCATGTAAAAGTTAAAAAGATTTTTAAAATCCTATATAAATAGTCAAGCATATTTCTTGAAAACCTTTTTTCTTAGCTCGTGTGCATCGCAGGGAAAATCTACGCATACTGTTGAAAATATATTTTTCCAGTATATGTGCAAAACCCCTTTAAAAATTAAAAATAAGCTAAAAAAGCTCAAAAAATAAATCGTAAATGAAAAATGTAAATGTATGGTCCCATATAGCTTTAACTTTCTTTATAGGTTAAGTATATTTCATAATTTAACTTGTGCTCTCTTTTATCCGACTGCTTGGATTTCTAATTATTCCTGATTTGTGAAGGTTAATTGCACTTCGACTACAATTAATTCTGATTTGACAAACACATCACATCGTAATTTAACAACAAATAAATAGTTAATTTTACTTTATGTATTTAAAAAATAGTTCATGTATTTAAGTAATCGAGAACTAATGATGATAGACATTCATTTTTGTTTGAGCAGATCAGTAAAATATAGAAAGACAAATAATTATTAATTATGATATCACAGAGAATCATTCTAGACGAAAACCGTGTAGAATATTTTCTTTTCCATTGCTACGAAAATACAAATAGTGGGTAGCAAACTGAACACTTTCAAAAGTATTCACTTGGATTATCAAAAGGTTTAAATCTCCCAAGTAGGAACAATCACACTAACCGAACGTGAATGTTGTAAGAAATTTAATTACGAGCGAGATAGATATGATATTTTCATTCTTCACTTAATTTTAAATACTTATACATATTTTTGTCTGACATGTTTAATGTCATTTTTGCTGTTTCTTCAACGTGTCTCCTAACGACTCCTTTCAAGATTTAGCACAAATAAGAGCAACAGCGGAGGACTATTGCAATTGTTTGGACTCTGACGATTCATAATTAATCAATGCAATACACTTCTTAGTTAACTATTTTGTTTGGTTTGGTTTTTAGAAATTTAGAAAAGTTATATTTTTAATAATCCAGGGTATAGCGTTGAATTTACTTACACGTTCTTGGTAATTTTGAATAGAGATAAGTAGTTATTAAATGAGAGTATTTTATGGACAATTGAAATGAAATGGAAAATCTTTGGTTCTAGTCGTCAATTATTACTTTTCGTTATGTTAAGAAGTTCGGGAGAGGGGGGGGAGAGGGGTTGAAAGTCCTAAACATTTTGCTCCTTATATAATTCAGAATGCAATCTTCAGATTTTCCTACACAATGTGTTAAATTTTTCATAAAATGAATGTAATATTAAACATTTGAATGTTCTACCCTTTCTTATCGTGTTAAGTTTAAGCATGTGTAACCGTGTAGGGGTTGACGAAGGAAGTAACGAATTTCAATTAGGCTACTTTTTTATTACAATTCAACACTTAGCGAATCAAACAATTTATTATTGCACGAAAGCGATATAAGCTTCAATGGTCTTTTACAGCAATATAATCACTATTTCCCTAGTTTTCTGT